TGGTTTCTCTGTCCATTTTCAGAAACAGCAGCACCATCTACTGGACGATCTTTATTCTATGTAACACTGAGCATCAACATTCTCGACTGTTGGAACTTAGAAGAGCTGGAAAGCAGAGGTGGATGTTGGTGTTGTCTTTGGTTCATTTGTTCTAAGATCACATTCCAAGGCTGAACAGATGAAAGATCATGGAAGACTTAAGGGAATGCCATGACCAGTATTTCACGTTGAAAGAAGGGAATGCCAGATGAAAGACCATGGAAGAGTTAAGGGAATGCCATGACCAGTATTTCATATTGAAAGCTCTTTTTCTCCTAAGAGCTCATCTCTTCCTTATAAGCAAATTGGCTTTTGTCAGGCTTTAAATCAAGGTAAAAGGTTTCCTCACTGCTTCTTCTATGTATGAGAGACAGGGCTGGCTCCATATCAGCTCACCCATCCACCCATTTTTTAACACAGCCACATCTTGACTTCTTATAGGAACAAGGACAAACTGGAGGTGGAGAGGGGAAAGGTCTAGTGCATAGTATTTATTCTATGATTTGAAATTATGATTTTAGAATGTAAAGAGAACTTAGAAGACAATGGTGAAGCAGCAACAGTTGGAAGAAAGCTGTATGTTTATGTTTCACTGAACAGTTTTTAAGGAACTTTCACATTATTTGATCCTCAACGTAGCCCTATTAAAATAGACAACACAGATCTTATTATCTCCATTTTAAATGAAAGGAGAATGAGGCAAAGGGAAGTTAAATTATGTGCACCAGGAATTGTGACTTTGTGCTGTGGACTTTCCATTACACTATACTACCTGCTCCAGGCTGTCATGCTACAGACAGGAAAACTGACTCCCAAAGAATCTAAGTAACGTCTCTCCAATCCAATGGTAAGTTATCGTAGTGTCAGAACAAGAGTTTCCCGATTAACGGTCGGCATGCATTCACAACTCTACTTCCTCATTTTGTTTTAAAATGTGTATAAATTTAAGGGGTACAAGTGCAGTTTTTTTTTTTTAACATGGTTATATGGCACCGTGGCGAAGTCTGGCTTTTAGTGTAACCATTGCCCAAATAACATACCTCGTGCCCATTAAGTAATTAATTTTTCATTCCTCACCCCTCCCACCTCTCGACCCTTTTGAGTCTCCAGTAACTATTATTGCACACTCTACATCTATGTGTACGTATTATTTAGCACCCACTTTTAAGTGAGAACATGCAGTATTTGGATTTCTGTTTCTGAGTTGTTTTTACTTACAGTGGTGGCCTCCAGGTCCATCCATCTTGCCGCAAAAGGTGTGATTTCATTCTCTTTTATACCTGAGTATATTTTGTTGTGTATATACACTATATTTTCTTTATCCAACCCTCTGTTGATGGACACTTAAGTTGAATTCATATCTTTGCTGTTGTGCCTCACTTTGCTCTAACCCCAACAATGACAACACTATCAGTGAAAAAAAGAGAGGTGATGATGAAACTCTCAGTGGAATTATTGCTTTGAATTGTGAATGCAGGCAGGTGAAGTGTGAAAAGTCTTTTTAATTGATTCTGATACGTGCCATTGGTACCGTCTACTCCAGGGTAGCGCTTGACCCTGAGGTTGAAGAAAGAGGCTCGGTAAGATGGCTCATGACTGTAATCACAGCACTTTGGGAGACTGAACTAAGAGGACTTCTTGAGCCCGGGAGTTGGAGACCAGCTTGGGCAACATAGCGAGACCACATCTCTACAAAAATAAAAAATTAGCCAGGCATGGTGGCACATGCCTACAGTCTCAACTACTCAAGATTCTGAGGTAGGGGGATCACCTGAGTCCAAGAGGTCGAGGCTGCAGTGAGCTGTGATTGTGCCACTGCACTCAGCCTGGGTAACAGAGTAAGACTCTACTTCCTGACACCTCCTGGATCACCCCCCAAAAGAAGGAGGTGGTGAGAAGAGGGGACTATACTTTGAACCTCAGATGGACTCCCTAGATTTTCCCAGATTTGGCTCTGAGCCACATTCTCAGGATGCCAGGTTGAGGAGGCCACTTGAACAGGGCTGCTCCACAGCTACCTTCTGACCTCTGGCTCTGGGCAGGTCCTCGCCTCTTTCTGCAGGACACAGGGCAGGTCGCTATGGGAGCTGTGGGTATTTACAACACACCCTCTGCCAGGTCTGAGACCTTTTCCTGTGCAGCTCTCACAATTTGAGCTCTGGTGCTAAACACCCTGGTGGAGTGAGAATGTCTTATTTTCTGGTCTCAATTCCTACTTTTGGGAGTTTTAATGAAGATTTGATCATTCTCTAAGGGCTGAATCCTGGCACAGGAGTTTCCTGGAAATATAAGAATGTCACCTGGGCCTGCTTGTACTTAGGTAACCCTTGCTTGTGCAACTTTGAAAGAAACCAGGAGACCCGTTTAGTCAAATATTTAAAACCATTTAATTGTCAAGCCTTCAGAAACTCTAGTGGTTCTTTTGCAGTTGATTAAATTTTCTAGGACCACACTTTCTAGAGCGAGCATTGCTCCATAAAATCTATTGAAAAGTGAATGTTCACCTAGGTGCCAAATTTATCACTATGTATGTACACCAAATTTCTGTCATTGCAAGGAAATACTGGCCTTTTTTATTGTTGGGTGGACAACTGGAGTTTTCAAATTGTACTGTACAGTTTTCTCTACATTTTTTTTTTATCTAAGAAGAAAACATTTTTTTTCCTTGCTGCATAAACAGTAGTGGTTTCAAATGTCTAAATCTGAACTCTAGATCTTTGTGTGAAGCTTATTTCCCACTCTACCTGTGTCCTTGAAGATGGAGAGCTGAAGTGAGGTGAGGACACCCAGGGGAGGAAGGTGTACACATAAGGTTAAGATGTTACCCAAGGCACAAGTCAGGCTGAAAGAGGATGGGTAAGTGAGAAAAGATGGTTAGAAGGTAAATTTCTTTCCTCCTATTCATCCTATCTTCTCCTAGGACATCAAAAGGGCCTCAGGTAGAAAAAGTTCAGATTACGAACCGAGCAAAACTGATGAGGTTAATTGACTACAGAAACAATGCAAAGCAGCATCATTCATCTGGGGTAATACCCGAGGTTCACTGCCCCACACCAAATAAAACAAGAGCGGACACACAAGGAGTGAGGTTAAGAGCAGAGGTTTAATAGGTGAGAGAAAGGGAAGCGTTCTGTCCTGCAGAGAGAGGGATCCCGAGCAGGTTTTCTGGTCCACGGCGAAATGCAGCAGGTTTCATAGATGAGCTTGAGGAGTTGGTATTTGATTTACACAGGGCGCAAAAGATTGATTGGACAAGGTGTACAGTTTGCATAGGTAATATTCAATTAGATCACTTTGGAATTTTGTTTTTTTCATCAATTAATTGTTATTCTAATATAAGGAGAAATAAGATAAATTAAAATCATCTTTTAAATCTGCTTTAGTATTCTGGTAGTATATAAGGAAAAAGTATGTGCCATTTCATCCACTCCTTTCTCAATAAATACACCCTCATTCAACAGTAAATACATTCCAGGTGCTGTTCTTGGTGTTAAGGATGTTGCTGAGGGGAAGACATCAAATGCCTTGTTTTTTTGGTATATTCCCTCTTGGTATTATTTATATATGGAAGCTTTATGTAGGTTAATGGCATAATATACCTATGGTATGTGAAGATCCATGGGTTTATTCAACAAATCATTTGTTGAGTACCTCAGATGTTCCAGACATTGTTCTAGGCACCAATGTTACAGCAGCGAACAAAGCAGACGAATCCCATCCTTCCATGGAGCTTATATTGGATGTGTGGTGGCAGTGAAGTAGATAAACATAAGGCAGGTGGTAAATGCTCTAAAGAAAAATAAAGCAGGGTAATGAGCCAGCTAGTCATGAGAGGGAACTCTGTTTTATGTAGGGTGATCGGGGAGGCCTCACTTGGAAGGCGTGGCACTGTTGCAGAGACACGATGAAGACAGGAAACTGGTTAGCCGAGCAGACCGTTTGGGGAATTACTCCATGTGGAGGGAAAATTTCAAGTGCAGATACACAGATGCAGGATTAGGCTTTGTGTATTTGACTGGAACCAACAGAGCAAGGGAAGAGTGTTAGGAAATGAGGGTAAAAGGGGAAAGGAGTAAAATTAAATAAGATAGCGTACTCCATTAAAAAGTAATTGCATTTTCCTGGAAATGGGAAGACACAGGAAGGTTCTGAGCAGGGGAGAGACATGGCCACATTTATATCATAAAACTATTGCTGTGGCTACTATTGAGACAATAGACTTTGGAAGGGCTAAGAGCAGAAGCAAGAATATGACAAGGCTGTGCAGTTATTCAGGTGAGAGATGGGTGGCCTGGCCTGCACTGATGGCACTGGAGATGGGGAGAAGTGATCAGATTTTAAAAATTTATTTTTATTAAGGCAGGGTTTCACCACGTTGGCCAGGCTGGTCTCAAACTCCTGACCTGAGGTGATCTGCCCACCTTGGCCTCCCAAAGTGCTGGGATTACAGGCGTGAGGCACCACACCCAGCCAAAGTGGTCAGATTCTGAATGTATTTCAAATGTTTATGCTGAGTGAGTTACCCAAAAAAAAAAAAAAAAAAAAAGAATGTATACTGTATGTCCATTTATATCAAATTCTAGAAAATGCCAACCAATCTGCAGTGACAGAAGGTTGTCTGAAGACAGCTGGGAGAAGGGAGGGAGGGATTATAAAGGAGCATGAGAACTCTTTCAGAGGGGATGAATGTATTAATTATCTTGACTGTGGTAATGGTCTCATGGGTGTAGACTTCTGTCAAAAATTATCAAGTTGTACACTTTAAACGTGCAATTTATTGTAGGTTAATTCTACTTCAATAAACCTATTTTTAAAAAAGACATGGGATTTTCTGATGGATTGGACTCAGGTGTGAGAGAAAAGAGGTCAGGATGGTTTGTATATTTTTGGCTTGAGCACCCAGAATATAGGAATTAAATTGTCATTCTTATTTCTATCTCAGATAGGGTAGACTGAAAGGAACAGAGTTTGAGGAAAAAAAAATAAGAGTTTGGTTTTCAGCAGATTGTTAGAGATGCCTATTACAGGGTTGGGGAGCACAGCGTTTGGGGACCCAAACGGGCAGAGAAGGAGTCACGCGGAGGTTCTGTGACGGACTGGGGCAAAGGCAGCTGATTGGATGTGGGAGAACGACAAGAGTTCTGGTTGCCAAGGCAGCGCCAGAGGAAAACACTTCGGGGTGAGGACTAGGCTGTCGACAGTCCCATTCCTGGAGGTCTCCCTCAGTCCTTCTGGTGGTTCCCCGCATCCCTCTTGAAGTCCCTGCTGACCTGTCAGTCGGGAACTGCTCAGACCTTCTTGGGCGCCGCCAAGGGGCGGCGCCCGGCTTTCCACCCGCCGCCGGCGCTCCGCCCCCGGCCCCCTCCTCGGCGTCACCGGCTCCCCGAGGTGATCACAACATGGCTGCGGCGCCTTGGCTGCTCTTCTGGCTGCTCCTGCTCGGGCCGCAGTGGCGAGTGCCGGGCCAGCCGGACCCCAGCACTGGCCGGCGCTTCTCGGAGAACAAACTCTGCGCAGAGGACGAGTGCAGCAGTGAGTGAGCCTGCGAGGCGGCCGGCCCCGGGGTCTCCGAGGCGGCGCTGCCCGGCTTGTGCGGGGACTGGAGCTCTGCAGCCCACCCGGCCGGCCCCGGGGTCTCCGAGGCGGCGCTGCCCCGCTTGTGCGGGGACTGAAGCTCTGCAGCCCAGCCTGCCGGCTCCGGGGGTCTCCGAGGCGGCGCTGCCCGGCTTGTGCGGGGACTGGAGCTCTGCAGCCCAGCCTGCCGGCTCCGGGGGTCTCCGAGGCGGCGCTGCCCGGCTTGTGCGGGTACTGGAGCTCTGCAGCCCAGCCTGCCGGCTCCGGGGGTCTCCGAGGCGGCGCTGCCCGGCTTGTGCGGGGACTGGAGCTCTGCAGCCCACCCGGCCGGCCCCGGGGTCTCCGAGGCGGCGCTGCCCGGCTTGTGCGGGGACTGGAGCTCTGCAGCCCAGCCTGCTGGCTCCGGGGGTCTCCGAGGCGGCGCTGCCCGGCTTGTGCGGGGACTGGAGCTCTGCAGCCCGGCCTGCTGGCTACGGGGTCGCAAGCGGGGCGCGCGGGAGGCGGGGGTGGGCTGGCTGCGGGTCCCTGTGTCTGCCTTCTCCGGCTGAGCCGGAGCCACTCAGGCCTGACCGTGGGGGCTGCACCTCCCACTTGTTGCCAGCGTGTTATTTTTCCTCTGCCGAGACGGTGGGTTGCTCGCAGTGGTCCCTGGTTTCCCCAGGAGTAGCTCACAGCGTCCCTTCCCCACCCCGCCATCCGCCTGGGCTCCGAGGGTAGCTGTGGTTGCGCGTCGCGCTACTGGGCTCCCCACGCCGCAGCCAAACGCTTTATTGCTCGCGCCGCGGGGACCTCGGTGGGTGCAGTACCCCGGGAGATGCGCTAAGGGCTCGGTGGGCGTTTTCCCAGTGGCAGGTTGATGGTGGGGCTTCTCTGCAAAGGCTTTCTGGGGCTGTCCCTTTGCCTTTTCGCTTCACTGGGATCTGGGCTTAGCCTTTTGAACAGGAATTGGGAGTTTACGTTTGGGACGAGTCCGGAGTCCAAGCACTAATTGTATTCCGAGGTCTCTACCCCGACTTCATTTCTGTGCTTGGAAGCCTTTTTGCAGACTGCTAGTCAGGGCAGCAGGAAGGCCAAAAGCTTTCGCTCTGCAAAGAGGCCGAGGATCTGCACCGGCCACCTGGGACCGGCAGCCTCCTCCTCTGTGCGCAGGAAGCGGAATTGCTCTCCAGTCCCGGATTGGAGGTGGGCGGTGGGGAGATCTTCAGGCTCAGATAAAGAGGGTTGTTACAGGAATGATACTAAATACCCCAAGGGTCTCAAAAGCCAGCGTAGGTTTAGACTTAGCCACTTGGGTGTTGAAACCTCTTCTCTGTGTTCCTGGTTCCCCAAACCAGGATCACTCTTAGAGCCTTTCAGCTGGTCTCAAACAACCTTGTAACTTAGCCACTGCGGAAACGGTTTTTCATACATTGTTAAGTAATGCCTATAGAAAAGTATTCATTTTAGAAAGGCCAAGAACCCTATAGTTTAGCTATTTATATTCAAATTTGTTATCGAAACCAAATTTCATAATTTGAACTGTCCATATAACACTAATCAAGAAAAGAGATGTCTAATGAGCGTGAAGCCTTTCCTAGAGGTAACCCTGTGGCTGATGTGAATAAGCTGTCAAAAGCAGAACGACTGCCATGATTTTTCCCTTTAGTTTTCTTCGAGCAAAACCACGCTGTTATCCATTTGCTGTTGGCGGTGGCAAGATAGTTGGTCTTCTTTGCTTGCAAGCATGGCCCTGCCTGGGTTCGTCAAAACAGGTTACCTGGAGAATCGTCACATCACTGATGCTTCTCCAGTACTGAGGCCTGATGTTAGAAGAGCTCACGGTTGTAACATAACTTGAGAAATGGTGTGTGTTCAAGCAGAGGAAACCAGATATGACAGGCATCAACAGGAGCAGCGTCTAGATGGCTCTGTGTTGTGTTGTATGAAGTGTTTTGTAATCTGAGTGTGTACAGTGTCCTTGTGTGCTTTTCAAATAGCTGTTCCACTTGTATGCTGGCCTCTGATGTGTTATTCTAAATCCTCTATGATCTATTCTAAGGGAGAGCAAGAAAAACACTGCCATTTCCGATTTTGATCTTATTCCCAATCTTAAATTGTCTGTGGCCTTAAACCTGGCCTCTCACGCAATAATGTCTGAACTACAAAGTTGACATGTTGGAAAATAATCAGAGCCTAGTTTCAAAAAACAAATAACTCCCTCCAAATCTATATGTTTGTATAGCCATTTAAAGACATGTTTAAAATGTACTTTATTGCAAATTGGCTTTTGGAAAAAGTTTTATTTCCATTTTCCTTCATTGTCTCTGCTATTTAAATATAGTTATTGTCCATTTTGTCTTACATGGGAAACTGTTTATGTGGCCACAGAAAGAAAAGTACTGCTTTACAGTTTCTAGATCAAGCATGATTTAAGCGTGCATTTTAAGCATGAAGGGAATTACTGACCTATTCTCATAGTTTGCTTAGTCCTGGCCACATGCGATGTTGACTTTTGATTTTGTTTATAGAAGCATATACATAAGGGTATTTTTTCTTTGTTTCGAAACTTTCTTAATGTTACATGCAGTCGACATTATTTACTTTCAGAAAATATTGCCTTGTGGTGTAATTGAATCTAGAGTAGGGTGTGATAGATATCCTTTTCCATTAATCTCTCCAGACACTGTACAGAGAGAAAAACTTGGCTGCCAGTGAAATTGACAGTGTTTACTGCCACATAGTAGCGGTTTCAGCCACTTGAAGGTAGAGCCTTTTAATGGTTAGTTCAAGTTAACTGGCCTCTTGGGAGTTCCTGGGTACTCTGGTTCCCTATTACCTCTTCAGGTAGCCATGCTGAAGCTAGTCATCATCTGGGCTTGCACTTGCCAATTTGCAAAAGGAAGCTCTTTATGAATATGAAACAGAAAAGATTGAGGAACTGGAAAGTTAGAGAGGGAATCAAGAGTTTCACTTGGGTAAGAAAAGCCATGTTGGTAGTTGCCACATTGCTTTTTGTTTCTCAGTATTATCCATAGAGAAAAATAGAGAAGGTTTTCCTTTCCTCTACTTGCAGAAGATACGATTTATAGCAGTAAAGCTCTAAGGATTTGAGATACTTTGAGCAAATAAAAGAAACCAGAGTACTGGAAAAGCTTGGTTGTTATTTATATTGGGATTCTTATATTTCCTGATAAATCAATATAGACTGTGAGCATTGAATCTTGATAATCTGGCTATTTTTTCCTCACTCTTTTTATACAGTGTTAATGTACCGGGGTGAAGCTCTCGAAGATTTCACAGGCCCGGATTGTCGTTTTGTGAATTTAACAAAAGGTGACCCTGTATATGTCTACTATAAACTGGCAAGAGGATCGCCTGAAGTTTGGGCGGGAAGTGTAAGTAAAATTTTGACATACTTTATATACTTAATTTTTATTGGCTTGTTTAGCACTGTATATTTAAATGACTATGGTTTTTTGGGACCTTTGATGGAATTAACCTGTCCTCTGCGCCAGACTCTGAAAAAAGATGGCCCTGTGTCCCCAGTGGCCTTGGGTCTGCACATAGTAGGGGCTCAGCAGAGCCTTCTGAAATAGATCTGATTCTAGCAAGTTCCCCTCAGTGTCAACCTCTAGGATGCTGCGTACATATTAGAAGTTGAAATGGTAAGAGCCGAAGAATTCTTTACTTCATTGCTTTAAAAAGGAAGGATTCATGGGAATTAGACTTACTCCTGTAAACTATGTGCGAGAGAGTGTTTAACATTTAAACTTTAAACATGTAAGTTTAAAGTTGATTTTGGCCAGGTGCGGTGGCTCACGCCCATAATCCCATGGCTTCGGGAGGCCAAGGTGGGAGGATTACAAGGTCAGGAGATTGAGACCATTCTGGCCAACATGGGGAAACCCATCTCTACTACAATACAAAACCTTAGCCAGGCGTGGTGGTACGTGCCTGTAGTCCCACTTACCTGGGAGGCTGAGACAGGAGAATCCCTTGAACCTGGGAGGCGGAGGTTGCAGTGAACCAAGATCGAGCCACTGCACTCCAGCCTGGTGACAGAGCAAGACTCCATCTCAAAATGTTTTTTTAAAAAGTTGATTTTGGGGTCCAAAGTGGCTCCCGCCGGAGGTCATGGCGCTTGCGAAGGCGAGGTCATCAGTTCAAGGCTAACCTGAGCAACCTCATAAGCTCAAACTGATTGGCAAAAAAAAAAAAAAAGTTGATTTTGTGTCATTTCTTTGTTTATATTAATATTTATGAAAAAGTGACAGTCTTGGGAATAGTTCCCTAGTCATCTGTGCTGTTACTAGTCTGTAAAAAAGCAAAACGTGTGTTTCCCATGTGCTTTCTTGTGTGTGTTTTTGTTTGCAGCTTTGCGGTCATCCTTGTCCTGCTTTTCAGAGCCTGGGTGTGGAGGTTACCCCAGGGCTCTGTTCCCAGCTGATTTTATGGGTGCCCTGATATCAGACGTGGCAATCAATGACTGCATCACACTTTGGTGTTTTAATGAGATTCACTGGGAGTGACCTCTGGTTGAGAGGCTCGTCTTATGAGTTATTATCCTTTTGTTTTTAGACAGTGTGATGTGTGGACTGTGTCTTTACCTCAAGTAGTAAGGGTCCTCGATGTCTTTTGGATTGTTCCAACTTAGAGAAATACCCATCCCAACTGTGAAAGTTGTCACTCTCAATAAAACACCAAACAAACAAACAAACAAACAAACAGAAAATAGGCTTGAGAAATCCCCTTGGGAAAACAGACTCATTTTGTTGGCATTCCAGGTTCCCAGGGAATAATCTTGGGAAACAACAAGTGTTCAGGTTCATCCTATTTAGAGAGCATCCCCAGTGACTCACTCCCTACCAAGACAAATCTATTCTCTTTCTTTCAAGTCTGCCTAAGGAGATTTGTTGGTAGTCTTTACTCTTGGAAATGTTTTTCCATGTATCTAGGCTGAGTTTTTGCTAGAACAGTTAAGATTTTTTTTTCACTCCTCATCTTTGAGCATTTGGATGAATGAACTTGACTTAACATTTTCCTCCCACTGCAGTTTTTCTTATAAACGTCTTCAGCTGTAGATGTCCCGTCAGTCTTTCTGGGTCGCAGCTCTCATCCTGCCTTCTTAAGGAACACTGCCTTCGGCACCCAGCCAGAAGGGGTCTTTGCTGCCTGATGACTGTTTGGGTGGCACTTTGTTTGCACTGTTCCTGTGGCATTTGCTTTACTGCTTTGTATGGCAGTTAATTTGTGTACTGTCTTAGCTCACATAAAGTCAAGGACTCTTTAATGGAAGGGCTCATGCCTTAGCTGTCTTCCTTTTCAGTATTTCCTTATGGGGCAATGACATTTATTTATATTTATCCTGATATTAACTTATCCAGAATTTGTTCTCTTAAGGCAATACTCTGCTTACCCCCACCCCCTACCAAGGAAATCAACAGCACCTTGGCAGAAGAAAGATTACTTCTTGTCACGCGGGCCTGCAATTCTGCAACTTTTTTTTTTTTGTCAAATGGTAAGAAATGAGATGCCACCTGTGGTCTCAATTGACAAAGATTACGGAAGGTAAATGTATAGTGTTTCCCTTTCTCTACATACCTCTGATTTGTTTCCTTTTTCCAGGTTCTCCTTTAATAAAATAGTCTCCCCTCTAATTTGATGAACCTTCTTCCCAGGAAATTAAAAACTCTTTCTTCAGCTTCCAAAATGATTCTTGTTTCCGTTTCTTAGTTTTCATTCTGCAGTCTTTTTCAGTTTCTTAGCATTTTAGACTTGATCTGCCAATAACACACAGTTTAACTGCCCTTATCTAATCTTCACGGCAGTATTTTACTACTAATACTGGCTTCCAGGTAGTTTTCAGATAGAACAAGAACACTCATCAATAGAATAGTGATAAGATGGCCTTTTTCTCTTTTTGTGCATTTGATTTACATGCCAGCCTCCTCCCTTAATGATTGGGAGATCTACCTCTTCCTTTCAGACAGTGACTAGTAAAAGACTGTGTTTCTCAAGAGGGCACGTTTTACATACCTTAGCTACTAGTGCTGAAAATGAATGGAATTATTTTCTATAGAGATTTTTGTTTGCATGAAACGAAAGCTTGGTGTGCAGATTAGTGTGTGTTACATTGTAATTTTATTTTGTCTCCAGACACCTGTAATGTCATTTTGGAAAATGACAGTATAACACATCATATCAGCAAATACGGCTGATCCTAGAGCAACACAGGTTTGAACTCTGTGGGTCCACTATATGCAGATTTCTTTCAATAAATGTATTATAACATTTCATGGAGGTTTGTGATAATTTGAAAAAACTCTCAGACTGCATAGCCTAGAAATATTGAAAGAATTAAGAAAAAGTTAGGTATGTTATTAATATATAAAATATATGTAGATCCTAGTGTATTCTTTACTACCACAAAACATACACAGATCTATATAAAAAGTTAAAATTTATCAAAACGTACACACACAAACTCAGGTCTTACATGGCATCTTTCGCAGTGGAGAGAAATATAAAACATAAAGATAAAATATTAAATCGTAATTGCATAAATTAATTTTACTACAAGATTTCATAACCACCTACTCTTGCTATTCTGCTGAGCTCAAGTATTGTGAGTGTCCACTTAAAATGTGACACTAATTATTCCACATGAGCAATTCATCTCCAATAAATATTACAGTGCTTAAAAAGTGATCTCTTGTGGTTCTCGTGTACTTTTTGTGTTCAGTGCAATACTGTAAACCTTGAATAACACTCTGAGACCCATATAGAGTGTCACTAGTGATGTTGGAAGTGCTCTCAAGTAGCAGAGAAAAGTAATGACATTACAAGAAAAAGTTGAATTGCTTGATAGGTGCCGTAGATTGAGGTTTGCAGCTGTGTTTGCAAGATTAACAAATCTAGCATAAGGACCATTATAAAAAGGAAAAGGAAATCCTTGAAGCTGTTATTGCAGCTATGCCAGCAGTCATGGAGATCTTACACTTTTAGTTTTGCAAAATACCATTTTATGTACTATTAAAAATACAGCTTTTATGTGGTTATAGGCTTGCTGTTAGAAAGGCATACCTATAGATTCTAATGTGATTTAAGTCAAAGCAAAATCATTGTATAACAACTTAAAGCAAAAGGCAAGTGAAGGGTCTAACGCTGGAGAATTTAATGCCAGCAAAGGATGGTTTGATAATTTTAGAAAGTGGTTTGCGTTAAAGAAAGTCAAACCAACAGCAGAAGCAGCTTCTGCCAACCAGGAGGCAGTAGAATATTTCATAGACACCATTAAGAAAATCATTTAGGAGAGAGGTATATGCCTGAACAGGTTTTTAATGTTGACAGAAGTGCCCTATTTTGGGGGAAAAAATGCCATAAAGGACATTTGTTAATAAGGAAAACAAGTGAGCAGCAGGATTTAAAAGAGGAAGGGATAAGCCAACTCCATTGTTGTGTGCAAATGCAGCTGGGTTTATGATCAGGACTGCCTTCTGCCTTTATCTATAAATCTGCTAACCCCTGAGTCTTGAAGGGAAAGTTGAATACCAGCTGCCAGTCTTTTGGATATACTAGTGCCAGACAGTGAGGAAGAAGACAGAAAGGCCAGAGAAAAAGTCAGTATCAGACAGTCTGATAGAAGGGTTTCAGTTATTAAAGACTGCTATTACCTTCTGTTATAACATGGACCAATGTCTGATATGGGCACTGAAAATAAGGCAAACAGTAGAAGAAGAATTGGTACCATACAGAAACATTTTTAGAGAAATGAAAAAGCAAAAGAAGCTAGACAGAAATTACATTGTATTTCCATAAAGTTACATCAAGTGTGTGTGCCTCCTCTTCTACCTCCTCTGCCTCTGCTACTACTGAAACAGCAGGACCAACCCCTCCTCTTCTTCCTCTGCTTCAGCCTACCCAGCATGAAGATGATGAGGATGATTATCCACTTCCACTTACTGATGAATAGTAAATATGTTTTTCTTTAGATTTTCTTAATACTTTATCACCCAGGCTCGAGTGCAGTGGTGCCATCATGGCTCACTAAGGCCTCACTGCAGCCTGAATCTCCTGGGCTCAAGTCATCCTCCCACCTCAGCCTCCCCAGTAGTTGGGACTACAGGTGCATGGCACTGTGCTCAGCTAGTTTTTTTAAAAAATTTTTTGGAGAGACAAGGTCTCACTATGTCACCAGGCTGGTCTCGAACTCGTGAACTTAAGTGATCTTCCTGCCACTGCCCAGTGTGATTACAGGCATGATCCACGATGCCTGGCCTTAATAACCTTTCCTTTTCTCTAGCTTACTCTACTGTAAGAATAAAACATATAGCTATAACATGTAAAATATGTATTAATTGACCATTTATGTTATTGGTAAGGCTTCTAGTTACTGGTAGGCTATTCGTAGTTAAGTTTCTGTGGAGTCAGAAGTTATATGAGATTTTTGACTGTGCTCCTAACACCTGTATTGCTTAAGGGTCAGCTGTATTTGCCTTTTGTTGTAGTGATCATGTATTTTAGAAACTTTGTATTCTTTTTACTTGTGACATGGCTGTTGTTTATTGTTTAAGAAATATTTATAAGTCCTGGGTTATGACCTATGCTATGAAATGTGCAGCTACATTTTTGCTAGAGGTTATTTGGAATTGAGTTTATAACCAGCTTTGCTATGCAGTTTTAATCATATAAAATATACAATAATATTCCCTTACACAGATCTTTTATCTACTTCTAAACACTAACCTTACATGTCCTGCATTTAGAATTAAGCCGAATGTAGTAAAAAAAAATTCTGCAGTTTTAGAAATGTTTGCTTGACAGTTTTCTGTACCTAAATTCTCAGGGTAATAAGTAATAATCTTGGTGTAATTACAACAGCAACTGTCTACCTCTCTTGGTTACATCTACTTACCTATGTGTTTGTATAGTTTCTACACTACTAAGAAGTCTCTCGTTTATATTTCTCATACAGAATTTGATTGATATTTGTCCCTTTTGCCCATTCTTTTGTTTAGGTCGGGCGCCTTTTTGGATATTTTCCAAAAGATCTAATCCAGGTAGTTCATGAATATTCCAAGGAAGAGCTACAAGTTCCAACAGATGTAAGTTGTGGTTTCTGCCTTGTTCTCCGTTGTAAGTTGGCTTATACGTGACTACCTAGAAAGAAAGAAAGAAAGAAAAATTTCCAAAGAATTTAAATAAGATTTTTATCATAATCTGATAGTTATCTAATATATTGAAATAGATATTTGTATATAAGGCTGTGTGCTCTTATACAAGGCTTTTCTTTGCTGCTTTATAGGTGAAAAGCTAAGAATTCAATAGTTTTGTATTTATTAATGTTAGAAGGCAAATAACTTCATTTTATGAGCAAAAGGAGAAGCTGTATCCCAATTTGAAAACTATTTATTGGATAACTGTTAGACTTGTTAAGGATATAGAAATCAGGTTACATTAATCAAGCTCTAATTTTATATTGAGCCAAAAATGCAGACTTACAAAGTTTTTCTTATTATTGACTGTTTAATGATTTAAAAAATTATGGCTATAGCTTTGGAAAAGGGAACCTGAGAGTTTCAGATAAGGTCCAGTCTCAGATCTCTAAGGCACTGACTACACATTCTATAAAGCATTAATCTATGGTGCACAATGGTTTTGTACTAAAAGGATTTTGTTTTCTGGTATCTGCATTCCATCTGATTATTATTTTTTTGAGATGGAGTCTCGCTCTGCTGCCCAGGCTGGAGTACAGTGGTGCAGTCTCAGCTCACTGCAGCCTCTGCCTCCAAGGTTCAAGTAATTCTCCTACCTCAGCCTCCGAGTAGCTGGGATTACAGGCCTGCCACCACCCGGCGAATGTTTTGTATTTTCAGTAGAGATGCAGTTTCACCCTGTTGGCCAAGCTGGTCTCGAACTCCTGACCTCAAGTGATCCACCTGCCTTGGCCTCCCAAAGTGCTAGGGTGATGGGCTGCATAATATATCTATAACACTGTGCCTGGCCCCATCTGATTATTTTCTGAGTTTTAGAATATATAGTAATTGATGCCTGTCTTCATGTAGAAGTCTGAATAGCTGTCTGGGGTTACTGCAGAGCATGCAGGCTGCTGGGCTAGGGCAGTTCTTAGATGAGATAGGCAGAATCAAGTCACAGAGCTACCACTATGCTTACAATTTCCCGATGCCCTCAGGGGTTGCATAGTCAGTCCTATTGCCTGTTTGGCTTCACTCCTGATGAAGAGACTGCTCAGGAGATGAGTGTGAGACAGCAGTTCATTGGTCACAGAGACCTGACCTGCTCTGGATTCTGTGTAGTCATTGCAGTTCCCATTGCATGATTCCCTTGATATTAAAAACAATTGGCTCAGAAGTGGGCATGATGGAAAGAGGCAGGAGAGAGAGACATTCACTTGAAATGTACTGTGATAATGAGCAGAAAGAGAAGTATTTACCTGATGGTAGCACAATCTATGGCATAAATTGGTTCACTGTGGTGGGAGAGTGATATGAAAGGCCGGAAGTTTACTGAGAGATGCTTTAAGCACAGTCGAAAGACAGATGGGAGCTTGACTTGGAGTTGCCAAATAGAAGGGCTGGGGAGGGAGATGGGCAGGGGGCCGGGCACCATGCAGTCAGGCAGAAAAAATAACACATTCAGAGAAGTGAAGGCATGAAGGAAAGGTTATCTGGGGAAGCCAGGGAAGCGTGAGTAGTTGGTGTTAATTCTTTTTTTCCTTTTTTTTGAGACGGGGTTTTGTTCTGTCGTCCAGGTTGGAGTGCAGTGGTGTGATCTCAGCTCACTGCAACCTCTGCCTCCTGGGCTCAAGTGATCCTCCTGCCTCAGTCCACTTAGTGGCTGGGAGGCTGGGATCACAAGCGTGCACCACCATGCCTGGCTTTTTTTTTTTGTATTTTTAGTAGAGGTGGGGTTCCGCAATGTTGCCCAGACTGGTCTCGAAGTCCTTAGCCCATGGGAGCAGTCCACCATGGTCTCCCAACATGCTGGGGTTACAGGCGTGAGCCACTGTTCTTGACCAGTTGGTGCTGTTAAAGTGTGGAGTTAAGATTAGCTGGGCATGGTGATGTGCACCTGTAATTCCGGCTACTTGGGAGGCTAAGGCAGGGGAATTGCTTGAGCCCAGGAGGCAGAGGTTGCAGTTAGCGGAGATTGTGCCACCATGCTCCAGCCTGGACAACAGAGCAAGGTCCTGTCTCAGAAAAAATACAAATTAAAAAGTATGGAGCTAAGAGGGGAAAGGTCTGTTGGAGGGACGCAGAAGTCAGAAAACTGTGTGTCATGGTGCGTGGTGAGATCATTGTTGGCAGAGATCCTCAGAAGATTTTAAGCAGGAAAGGGGTTGTCGGGTCTGTTTCTTAGAAAGTGTCACTTACGGCAGAATATTTATTCAAATCTTTCTAAGAGAGCCATGCTTGAAATGAGGCATTTAATGCCTAGAAGCTTATCTAGGCTTTTTAGGACTTAGCTCCCCCTTGTGGTACTTGCTGAAATTGGACTTTTTTCTCTTGGTGAGTTAGAGGAATACGCAAGCTCTCGAAGTTGGAGGCCAGGTTGCCCTTAGAGCTACAGGGAAAGTATGCTCCTCACTAAAGCAGTTTCTTCTAGGTCCTGTTATTTCAAGACTCAAATAGGAAAGAGGGTTTTTGTTGTTTTTCTGTTAAAATGCATGGGTTTCAAGCCAGGATGATTTGCTTTCCAACCCTAAAGCCATTACTTAGAGGTTTAGGGCAAATGACTAAACTTTGAACCTGAACTTTCTCATCTGAAAAATGTAGATAATACCTACTTCAATTGTTGGTAAGCATTAAATGATTTAATAATGCAAAATGTCTGATATAGCATCTGGCGTTGTAAGATCTCATACCTCACCTAATTCTCATTTGGATGGTCAGAGGGCATATAAAGACATTGAATACCTGCGGATTTCAGGAGAAAGACCACCAGAATGGAAAACAAGTAGGAAAACCAAACCGTTTTTCAGTATTCTCCATGGTCGTGGTGGTGAAGATTTGTATTGTCTGTGCAATTGGGCTAATGAAATTTTCAGTGATTAAGACCGTCTCAGAATTTAGAATTCATTGGTTTTCAGAATGAAATTATCACTTGAAAAGTTTAATAGCCCCCTAGTTGTGGAAGGAATTCTTTATTCATTGTATTTCTACATAGCCACAGAGCCGTCTTCTAGGCCTGGGCTGGGGGGATAGGAGTGGTGTGGGATAGGATCTGTGATTAGGGGCTAACAAGGAAAGACAGACATGATTGGCAAGATAGAAGGGTTCAGAATTATAAGTTGCTGACTTGAGAGTGATTGTCAAAAGAGGATTTTGATGGCTAAATATGTACCAGAAATTGCTAGGCATAAAAGATTCTAAGAGATATAAAGTGTAATTCTGACTTTTGACAGGCTTAAAAAAAGGTTTACTAAATAAATATATGTGAAAATTGGAGAAAATGGAAGATATGTAAAATATGTGAAGTATCAAGTAGTTTATATATATAATTATTTGATAGGGTTGGGGAGTCATGGGGTGCTGACTTTATTGGGAAAACTGCACCAGAGGTCAGACTCATAGATCAATAGTTGATTAATAGTTAGTGGAATTTTAGGATTGGAAGAGACCTTAGAAGCCTACTAGTCTAACTTCTCAGTAATCGTAGCAATTCCCTTTTTTTTGTTCTATGATGGGGTCTCACTCTGTTGCCTAGGCTGAAGTACAGTGGTGTGATCATGACTCACTGCATCCTCCACCTCCCTGAGTGCAGGTGATCCTTCTACCTCAGCCTCCTGAGTAGCTGGGACTGTAGATGTGCGCCACCACTCATAGCTCCTTTTTAATGTTTTTTTATACAGACAGGGTTTCGTCATGTTTCTCAGTCTCGTCTCAAAATCCCGGGCTCCAGTAATTTGCCCGCCTCAGCCTCCCTAAGTGTTGGGATGACAGACGTGAGCCACCATGCCTGGCCAGTTATTCTTATTGATGATCGTTTTCTCCCATTTTTGAATGGACGCCTGTTCAGCTTGTTCCTGGGCCCGTTTGACACCGCTAGTGGTCATTGCTACTTTCCGTGCTTTCTGTTAATAGTATGACAAGATTTTCCAAGCACATCTTGTACATTTCCTGCCCAAATCTTGAAGGAATTATTTGTCCAAGGAATTCTGGGTCCTTTTAATGAGAGACACTATTTAGAGATTACATTCTAGGTACTAAGATTGCTTATTGCTTATGAGTTAGCCGTGACTTCTAGGACTTTTCAGAGGACAAAGCTAGGAAGTATGTGATGGTTTTTTATGTGAATATTCATCATAATGTCATACGGATAATTCCAGTAGAAAGTAAGTATGCTAGACAAATTTTTCTCACTTCATCGATCTTAAATTTGTATCTTGTTTCTTCAGTGTTGGAAATCTCAGTTTCACAGCAACATAGTGTTTTTATCTTACAGTATTCATGCAACAGTATTAAAAACACAAACACTAACACTGCCACCAATAATACGTTACTGAAAATATCTTAATGTTTTGCAGTCTTTTTGTCTTTAAGCTAAGTCCCACTAGGCTGTGTTTGAACTAATTCCTTTCTGTGGTCCTTTCACCAAGTCAATACATGGGTTAATTTATTTTTTGTTTCAATTTTTAGGGATTGCCCTTTAAAATATTTTTGTTTTACAATTCTCTAACACAGGAGTTTCCAATCTTTTGGCTTCCCTGGGCCACATGAGAAGAAGGAGAATTGCCTTGAGCCACACATAAAATACACTAGCTGATGTGCTAAAAAAACCCATAATGTTTTTAAAAGGTTTACGAATTTGCCTCAGGCTGCATTCAAAGCTGTCCTGGGCTGCATGTGGCCTGTGGGCTGTGGATTGGACAAGCTTGATCTAACATATTTACAAGATCCAAAGTCAATTTGTAAAACAAGATCTGTTCCGAGAACTCTAGCTTTTGTTTCAGTTCCATCCACCCTGTCATTTTCCTCCTCTATTAGAAACTTTGTTATTTCTCCTACCATTAAGAAATAAGCAAATGATTTGCACATCCATTCATGATGGCTTTATAGAGTCAGCTTTATCCTCCCAACTGAAACAATTTTTAAAAAACCAGACAAAATAAATGAAACAATATTTTTCAAGACATTGAACATCAGGCAACAAAGGACAGTAAGTCTTGAAAGAGAAGGAACATATGCCATGAGCTCTCCAGTTGTCCGAGTTCCCAGGCCATGGCACAGAAAGAGAGAACCCAAGTGGAGCCAGGTGGACACCCTGAGATGAGGAGATGGTACTGGGAGTCCAAAGAGACCCAGGTAGCTAGAGTTCACAGGGCAGAGTAGCAAGAAGAGAGAGCTATGCAGAGAGAGAACTCTGGGAGTCTGTGAAGGGTCCCCTCTGAGTGTTGAGCAGAATACTGATCGGCACATGAGTGTAACAGAACTACTCACAGCCAACAGAAATCATCTAAGTGGTCAGAGGGAATGGTTTTTGACACAGAGCTAGAAGCAGTGCCTGGAAAACCTAATAATTGTGGAGAGATCCAGAGTACTCAGAAGGGTCTTGCCTCTGACTAAATGCTACTGTCTTGCTTGACAAATCTTAAGACTGAAAACCACACTGTTTCCAAGTAATTGAATTACATCCTAGTGCAAAGTTCTAGGATATGTGTTCGTAAGCATGACATCCATTCAAAGATTATCAGGCACGCAAAGAAGCAAAAAAATATAAACCAGGATGAGGAGAAAAATCAGCCTATCAAAGCCAACCAAGAACTGCCAGAGATGGTAGATTTAGGCAAGGGTGTTAAATCAGTGACTTCCTGTACTTCAGGTGTTTCAAAAGTAAGGAGAGACATCCGGGCACGGTGGCTTACACCTATAATCCCACCACTTTGGGAGGCTGAGGAGGGCATATCATGAGGTCAGGAGTTCAAGACCAGCCTGGCCAACATGGAGAAACCCTATCTCTACTAAAAATAGAAAAATTAGCCAAGTGTGATGGTGGGCACCTGTAATCCCAGCTACATGGGAGGGTGAGGCAGGTAAATAGCTTGAACCCAGGAGGCTGAGGTTGCAGTGAGCTGAGATCACACCATTGCACTCCAGCCTGGGTGACAGAGTGAGACTCTATCTCAAAATAAAAATAAAAATAAAGAGAGAAATGAAAGATTTGTTTTTTTAAAAAGACCCAAATCAGATTTCTGGAGATGAAAACTACATGGTGCCTGAGATGATAAATGCACTGGAAGGGATTCATGCCAGAGTAGCCATTGTAGATGAAAAGGTGAAAAAAAAAAAAAAAGAAAAGGTGAGTGAACTAGAAGATGCAGCAATAGAAACTATCCTCAATGAAACAAAATGGGAAAAAGACCCCAAGAAAAATGAACACAGCATCAGTGAGCTATGGGATGCTGTCAGGCAGCCTAATAGATGTGTAACTGGAATCTCTGTAGAAGAGGGGAAGAAAGGTGTTTGGAAAAATATTTGAAGATTTCTTCAAATGGCTGATAATTTTCCAAAATTGATGAGAGAGGCAGGGCATGTTTCTATGTCTTTTTTAATTATTTGCATTTCTTTTCGTGGGATCTGCTCATTTCCTCAGCCCATTTTTCTCTAGGTTTGCTGGCCGCCATCTTCTTATTTATAAAGCATCTTATATTTTAGGAATATTAATCCTTCAAAATATGTTACAAATATTTTTTCTTAGGTTATAATTGCCAACTCTGCTTATTTTGCAATTTTTGTGGATTGGGGTTGGGCAAGTTTTTTTTTGTTTTTCTGTAATCAAATTTACAAATCTTTTCCTTTGTTGCTTTTGGATTTTGATACATAATTAGGAAGGTCTTCCCCACTCACCTAATACATAGAGACATTCACACAATATTTTCTACTACTTGTTTTCATTTTTTACATTCAGGTTTCTGATTCACTTGGAATTTATGAATGCTAAGAAAAAGATCCAATTTTATCATTTCCCATATTGTTATCTAGATATGTAATACCACTTATTAGAAACTCTGTTTTTCCCCAGCTGACTTGCTGTATCCCAAATTTTCAGTGCAGTTGGGTCTATTTCTGGATTTTTTATTCTGCCCTGTGATCTGTCTGCATTCTTGGGCTAGCACCATTCTGTGATTATAGATCCCACTCTCCTCTCACATTGCACCCTTCATTTTTCTTCTTTCTCAGGGTTTTCCTGTTTCTTCTTGCTTGATTGTTCCTCTGAGTTGACTTTAGGTTTTCTTTGTTTTGTTTTGAGATGGAGTCTTGCTCTGTTTCCAGGCTGGAGGGCAGTGGCTTGATCTCGGCTCACTGCAACCTCCGCCTCTAGGGTTCAAACGATTCTCCTGACTCAGCCTCCTGAGTAGCTGGGACTACAGGCGTGCGCCACTATGCCAAGCTAATTTTTGTATTTTTAGTAGAGATGGGGTTTCACCATGTTAGTCAGGATGGTCTTCATCTCCTGACCTCATGATCCGCCCACCTCCGCCTCCCAAAATGCTGGGATTACAGGTGTGAACCACCGTGCCTGGCCAAAGATAGACCTTTAAAGATCTAAGAATGGTTATCTTTATCTACAGATATCATCTGTTTCCCCCACATATCACATGCCCCCAGTTTCTTCAACTTTTGGAATGTGATTTCCATACTATTCATTATCCTTGTTCTTTTCCACAAGCCATATAACCTTAAGATGTGGCCAGCCACTTGTCCCAGCTTCCCACCTGTCCCGGAACTTCTGGGACCCCTGTCGGTGCTCTACACAGCCTTCATAGCCCAGCTGCTGGAGGTGAGGGTACCCATTCCCAGGGAGGGACCCCACCTTTGGCAGGCGGGTGGACGAATTCTAAGCAGAGTGGGTGCACCGATTGTCTCTGCAAAGGAGAAACGGCGTGTCAGATCCGAGGAAGGCAAGACGTTTTATGCTGTTTAGGGAGTCAGGTGGAAGTGTGTTTGAGGTTTCGTCACTTTTGTTTTAATTGAGTACTTAACGTAATGACCGCACTTTATGTTCTGGTGTATAGTCATGATGAAATCACAGCCTACAGGTCTTTTCACTATAACCCCCGGCACTGTTGGGAGATGGGGCCAGTATGATAGTGTACTTGCAGAGGACCGTGAAAACAGCATAGAGCAGACAGGTGTTTAATGTACTGTCTTCAAGGAAATATTTAGAATTAAGGCACTAAAGTCAAAGCGGTTTATGTAGATCGGTTATCAGGAGCTATCATAATTTACTCAGCATTTGTTCTTTGTTTATGTAAGAGTTGATTTAAGATTGTAAGTCTTAGAGGAATAGCACTTCTTTGTGGTATTCATTATCATAGTATTGGTTTTATTTTTAGCCATAAAAAGTTGATCACGTGTATATCTGAGGTTTTTTGTCTTACGTGTTTTTTTAAGCAACAAAAACCAACTTACTCAAGAGAAAAGTATGATCCAGAGAGATTCTAGCCATGTTTTAGATAACATATTGTATCAGGGCCTATTGCAAACTAGAAATATATGCTCAACCTAAAGACATTTAGACTCGTAATTCTTTGAAACACTACAAGCCAAACACTAAGTGTATGAGACTCCCAGTGTCCTATCTTTCTTGAAGCAGTGAGAGCTATGGAAGATTTTTGAGGGGATAGTTATCTGACAGAGTTCTTTTAGAGTTTCGATGGATGAGTCTTTGTGACTGCTTTATGTTAAGTTTCTTTAAGTTTTCTCATTATTTCTAATATGCCGTTTTCAGCTAGTTTCTACATTGCCTGATGATCAGCCTGGGCCCGATTTTTATGGACTGCCATGGAAACCTGTTCTTATCACTGCCTTCTTGGGAATTGTTTTAGTTGCTGTTTTCTTCTGGAGAACTATCCTTGTTGTGAGTAAATTAATGTATACTATATCTCATAAATTCAAGTATGGTTTTATAATAGCCCTTTTGTTTCTTTTTTAGTTACTAACATGAACAGAAATTAACGCTTTTAATTCAAGCTAACCCTGTAAAATAATTTGGTGTAATTTTTGTCTTGGTAAATTGTCTTTTTTCTTTTTTGAGACAGAGTCTTGCTCTATCCCCCAGGCAGCTCTTGGTTCACTGCAACCTCCGTCTCCCGGGTTCAAACAATTCTCTGCCTCAGCCTCCTGAGTAGCTGGGTTAATTGGCGCCCACCACCATTCGCAGCTAATTTTTTCTTTTTTTCGTATTTTTAGTAGAGATGGGGTTTCACCATCTTGGCCAAGCTGGTCTTGAACTCCTGACCTTGTGATCCACCCGCTTCGGCCTCCCAAAGTGCTGGGATTACGGGTGTGAGTCACTGCAGTCAGCCCTTGTGTTGATAAATTCTTAAGTAACAACAAGATAACATGTATAATCTGGATGGGATAATTTCAATTTATATGTCCCTTATATCAAAATTTAAATAATAAGAATTAGTTGGGTCTTTATCTCAACTCAAAAAGGAAAAAAAAAAAACAATTAGATAGGTCATATGTACACTGTTAGTAGAACTGGGAATTCTTAGAGCCATCCTGAAAAGTAGTTTCATGATATGCGTCAGAAGTCTTAAAAATGGTTATCTCCTTTTATATTGTATTACTATCATGTCTAGTAATCTATCCAAAAGAAATAACTAGTCGGCCGGGCACGATGGCTCGCACCTCTAATCTCAGCACTTTGGGAGTCCAAGGCAGGCAGATCACTGAGGCCATGATTTTGAGACCAGCCTGGCCAACATGATGAAACTTCATCTCTACTAAAAATTAAAAAATTAGCTGGTGTCATGACGCACGCCTGTAATTCCAGCTACTTGGGAGGCTGAGGCAGAGAATCACTTGAACCTGGGAGGTGGAGGCTGCAGTGAGGCCACATGTGCTACTGCACTCCAGCCTAGGCCACAGAGTGAGACTCCATCTCCAAATAAATAAATAAATAAATAGATAGAAAAGAAAAGAAATAACCAGTCATACATTAAATATCTTGCATGGCTGGGCCTGGTAGCTCACACCTGTAATCCTAGCATTTTGGGAGGCCGAGGCAGGTGGATCACATGAGGCTAGGAGTTTGAGGCCAGCCTGGGCAACAAGACGAAACCCCATCTCTACCAAAAATACAAAAATTAGCTGGGTGTGGTGGCAGAAGCTTGTAATCCCAGCTACTCTGGAGGCTGAGGCAGGAGAATCGCTTGAACCGGGGAGGCAGGTTGTGCCACTGCACTCCAGCCTGGACAACGCAGTGAGAATCTGTATGAAAAAAAAGTTATAAATATCTTACATAAGAGCATTCAGTGGAACAGTATTTATTAGAGTGAAAACTTTGCACAACCTGCTGTGATTCACAGTAGGAAAATTGTTAAATTATTTTATGTTCATATAATGGGATATTAGTCTGCTTTATATAATTCAAAAACAGGAGCACAACAAATACAATTTAACATGAAGTAGAAAAAAAGTAGAAACTAAGCCTTTAAGGTGTAAACTGTCGTAAATATACACACAGAAAATAAATGCTGCAAGGAAATACAAGAAAATGATAAAAATTCTTTTATCTAGATGAGGTAAGTTTTCAGTTTTTAAAAGATGTGTGTTTCTGATTTGATTATGTACTATTTTCCTCAAAATATTTTTTATTTGGAAATACAGATTATATCATGTGCAAAGACACGATTAAGTCTTTTTAATCTTTTAGTCTTCTGTGCAGAATTTATCTTTCAGACGTAAACATATGTATGTGTAAGTGTGTATACTCATACTTGTACCTACTTATGATTATACTGTATTGCATTTAGCTTAACATATTTGGGAGAATATGTTATTTAACATAATTAGGAGAAGATTATTTTGTATCAATGAGCTTTGCAGATATGAAAAGCTTTCGATTGAAATTTAACAGTTAAAATGGCCAAAATAATTGAATGCAAATCTTTCTAAAACTAAGTATTCTTCTTCTGATTTCCTAATTATATCACATATATCATCGTTAATAATTTTTCTCTGCTTTCACAGTTGATTGTAAAATCACGTATAAAGAAGGGTCTTTTTTCCTGTGAGGCTTTCTTGAACCTCACAGGACTTTTCCTCAGATAAAAAGGGAGAATCGAAGGGTAAATGGAAGGGGAAAAGGTGAAAACATTTTACATTTCCCACTGTTGTTTCTCCTATTTATTAATAAAAAAAGTCTAACACCTTTTTTGTTTTTCAGAAAGTTATATAGGCCCTCTGTCCTAACTGCTGTTCCTCAGCCTCAGCATTTGAGTTTTGGAACCTTGGTCTCTGCTTGCCTGTTAGTTTGGGTGAAATGGAGCACAGGAAGTTTGCTCTCATTAGCAAGGCCGTTAGAGAGAGAGTAATTTCTTTGCATGTTGGAAATTTCTGAATGCATATTCCTATAGTAATAGTATTTTAAGTGAGATTTAGATACTGTAATTATTATTTATACAGTATATTAATTGCTATACATGATAACAGTATATTATACAGTGTATTATGTAAACAGTATAATAATCTCACCCAGTGAGATTATTATTCTGGGTGATTTGTGAACTGGTGTTAGTGTCTCATCACCATTTATGACATTTGAAAGGGATAAATATGTTCTGGGTTGCCAAGAAATTTAGTAAAATTCTTTTTTAAAGATTAGTTACTAGGAGGCTGAGGCAGGAGAATTGCCTGAACCCAGGAGGCGGAGGTTGCGGTGCGCCGAGATTTCGCCATTGCACTCCGGTCTGCGTAAGGAGAGCGAAACTCTGTCTCAAAAAAGAAAAAAAAAAATTAGTTACTGCTTGGCTTTTATTGTCTCATAATTTAGTGCTGTTTTTGGCGGATGATTTGGGTCCTGCCCTTCCAGGAAGATGATAGTTGTCATTTGTGTCGTTGCTTGTGCATTTTCCTCTAGCAGTCTTCCCTTCCCTGTCAGGTTCATGAGCACTGTTTTTAGTGGTCTAAGAAAGTCAAATGATCTGCCTTAGTGTTAATAGAATCGTTTCTAAATCCAGCCAGTAGTCAACTTTGAACAGGATTTCTCAGATATTTTCTGGAAAGCAAAAGAGGTGTATCTTAGTACGAAGATGATACCTTTAATTTTGTTTCCTCAGAGTCTTTTTGAGTAGTCAGTGTTTTTAGATTCCATTCTGGCTCTTTGGAGTTGTCAAATAAGTGACTTTGAGAAAATAAAATGTTAACATATTTATTATAAAAATACTAGCCATTTCTGTTATTCAAGTGAAGTGCTCATTTCATGAGACTGGTGTTCATTTAGGTATGTAAACATATCTTTAGCTGCGGAGTAAGATATTTATCTTAGTGCTTCATCTGTCAGACTGCAACATGTCACTGCTGTAAAACTTGAAATGCTTTTGTAACCTTTTTAAATGTTTTAACCTTGTGGATTTATTATGCTAAAGCAAACTTATTAAATTCTCATTTGGTTACAATTCCAACTGTTGTGTTAGGAACTGTATACACCTATTAATGAAATGTTTGACATAAAATTTCATTTTTATTTGTCTTTTCTAGGTGAAGAGTAGAGTATATCAAGGTAAATCTTTAGGCTTGTTTTGTTATTTGTACTATTCCCTCTATATTGGTGTTTGATATGGAAGTAGGTTTAGTGACTTCTGATGTCTGACTAACTTACAGCTTATGAAAACTCTCCTCTTCCTAGGTTGCTAGCTTGGATGATAGAATAAATGGTGATGCTACCAACTGAGACAGGAGATGAGGAGGAAGAAATTGTGGGAGTAGGGAGAAGATTAGTTTCATTGGGGGCAGATTTACCTTAAACGTTGATGTACTGGTTTATTACATGTGACCAGTTTTTCTGTGCTAACGATTTAGTATATTAAATATTTATTTAAGTAGATAATTTCAGGACTAGAAATATAAATCAGCATGCTTGCATTTTCTGTTTCTCTTTGCCAATGACATGTTTGAAGCGATACCATTTTCTGAGAAGAAAAAGTGCTTTATGCAGGGAGGAATATTGACCTATAACATTTTACTGTGCTTCCCATCTTGGAAATAAATTTAAATTAGACTCTCATTGAAATAAAGGTTTTTATTATATTTTTCTTAAATTGTAACAATATTTTTACATTCTTATTCCTATTAGCAGATTGCTTTTTGTATTAATCTGTTCTCACACTGTTGTAAAGAAATACCCAAGGCCAGGTGGGATGGTTCATGCCTGTAATCCCAACACTTTGGGAGGCCGAGGCAGGAGAATTGCTTGAGCTCAGGAGTTTGAGACCAGCCTGGGCAACATGGAGAAGCCCCATCTCTATAAAATAAAAAATACAAAAATTAGCCGCGGGTGTGGTGGCACACACCTGTGGTCTCAGGTACTTGGGAGTCTGAGACAGGAGAATTGCTTGAGCTCAGGAGGTGGAGTTTGCAGTGAGCTGAGATTGTGCCACTGAACTCCAGCCTGGGTAATAGACCGAAACCCTGTCTCAAAAAAACAAATACCTGAGACTGGGTAATTTATGAGAAAGAGGTTTAATTAGCTCATAATTCTGCAGGCTATACAGGAAGCATTGTGACATCTGCCTCTGGGGAGGCCTCAGGGAGCTTTAACCAAAGCAGGAGGCAAAGCAAGAGCAGGTCGTCTTACATGGCAGGAGCAGGAGCAAGAGAGAGTGAGCGGGGAGGTGCGGCACACTTTTAAACAACCAGTCTCCATAAGAACTCAGTCACTGTCACAAGAGCAGCACCACAGGGATGGTGATAAACCACTCAAGAGAAGTCACCCCTATGATCCAATCACCTGCCACCAGGCCCCAGCTCCAACACTGGGGACGATAATTTGACTTGAGATTTGGTGGGGACACAATCCAAACCATATCACATTTCAAAACCATAATAGTTATGCGAAGAAGTTCTTTTTCCTCATAGTGCCAGATAACATGTCTTTCTGCTGATACATTGGGTAATTCAGTTTCATTTAGTGATCATAATACCCTTATATATTTTCTTTTTTCAGTCACCGAACAGCAGATTTCTGAGAAGTTGAAGATTATTAGGAAAGAAAATACAGAACTTGAACAGAAATTGTCAAATTATGAACAGAAGGTATAATTATTCTTTTGTTTTCTTTCCCATGGTCCCAGCTTGAATGATTTTCACCTGTCTTATAGTTCAGTTACTATGGTATTTTAAAATAATATTCATTTTAATGGAATAATATTATTAATAATGGAATATTATTTTAAAATTAATGGAATTTTAAATTTTTAAAATTTAAATTAAATTTTTAATTTAAATATTTCATTAATTCCTCTAAACCATCCAGATCTTAAGCAATCATATGTGTAAAGTGCTGTTTTCTTCTATAAGAGGTCAGTCACTTCAAAGTAGGTTCCAATAGCACAATACCGTGTTTTTGTGGATTCTGAATGCTTTATTATTTGTAGATCAAGCAATTAAAGAAACATATTCAAGAAACCAGGAAGCAAAGAATGATTCTCCCTGGTAAAGCAATTAAATTTAAGGTAAAAACTTCTTTTGGGGATTACATTTTAAAACAAAAGTAAAAATTAATGAGTGTAACTAATCTTAGAATCTTTTTTATAGGATAAAATCAAGAAACTTGAAAAAGAAAAGGAAATTCTGGGTGGCAAAGCTAAAAAACTTCGTGTTATGTTGGAATCTACGAGAGAACAGAGTGTCAAGAATCAGGATTTGGTAAGAGTTTTCTGCTAAGTGTTACTAATACTTGGTTTTTGAACTCTGTAGATGGAGTTGAACTTTTTATTTTCCATGGTGTTCTGTGAAGTAAGAGTGCGAGTCAGGGATGTTGAACCTACTTCTGTCCGTTTTTGTGGGATTTTAGGTACTTACACAAGAAGTTATTCTTACGGGCCTAGGAAGGATTTTGGTTCTCAACCCTAGGTAATTGTTGTATTGCTTGGCTCTGCCTCCAAAACGTGGGGAAACTAAGAAACCACAATCCAGTTGAACAGTCCTTGGGTTTTTTTTGTTTGTTTGTTTTGCAAAGTTTTTTTTTTTTTTTTTTCGCTATAAGCATTTTACTTTATTAATAGAATAGTTTCAGAATGACATAAAAATTGCAAAGATAGTAAAGAGGGTTCCCGTAAATCTCACATCCTGTTAATCTTGATGACCTCACCGAGCTTAGTATTGCTGGGTTTCTTCACATTAAAATTACTTTTTTTTTTAACCTTTTGCATTATTGTACTCTTTGGAAGGAAGTTAGCAACACAGCCCACAGTTAAAAAGTGAAGGATTATGCCCCATCCCCTTGAGGAGCCAGGATCTTCATAAATGATTTGGAATTCTTGTATATGCATGATCTGTCTATTCTCAAATTCTACCATTTTTAATTTAGGCAAGAGAACTTTTAAAGTACCTTGGGGATTTTTTTCTCTTTCTTGCCCCAAGGGAAAAAAAACCACATTGCTTTGAACTGGTTAACTTGAAAGTTTCTTCAATTTCTTTTCTTTCATCTTTTAGTCTCGCCGTCTACCACATTTTATTCTAACAAGGAAGGTTATGTATGCCATGAAAAATTATGCCTTATTTTCCCTTACCTCTTTAAGTTCTTGATTTTTCCCTAGGGTAAAACTGGAAAACCTGCTTTTACCTGAAACACAGGATGGCTCTAGGATATAGTTTGTTGATGTTTCCTCTTTTTAGTGTATATCCCAGTGTTTCTACTGAAATCCTAATATGCGTTTTGTGTTCTGTTTTTACATGGCAGATATCAGAAAAGAAGAAATCTATTGAGACGTTAAAAGATGTTATTTCCATGAATGCTTCAGAATTTTCGGAGGTAAAGCTGACTATAATTCCTGCAGGATATTAAAACCATATCATGGTTTTATTGAGGAGCAAAAATTTGACATGTGCTAAAACGTGCGAAAAACAAAAACTACGTGATATTGGGTTGGGAAAGTAACTTTTTTTTTGTTTTCTTTGGAATTAATTCACTAATAGGAGTGTTTTGCATTAGGTTCAAATTGCACTTACTGAAGCTAAGCTTAGTGAAGAGAAGGTGAAGTCTGAATGCCGTCGGGTTCAAGAAGAAAATGCTAGGCTTAAGAAGAAAAAGGAGCAGGTAAAGGAAAGTACATGCCCTGGGTCATGTCAAATAGAGAACCCAGTATCATATCACATGAATGCCTTTTTTCAGATCTATTTTCAAGGTAATGTACATGCAGGATTCTGTTCTTAGATATGCCAGGTTTAAACTATATTTCCAAAATTGAGTATAGGTATACATTTTCTGTCCCGGGTTTTCTGTACAATTTATTTTGCTTATCAGAGTGTTTAGTCTTGCTTTTTTTTTTTTTTTTTGCCTTTTAGGTTTTGGGGTACATGTGAAGAACATGCAAGATAGTTGCATAGGCACACACGTGACAGTGTGATTTGCTGTCTTCCTCCCCTTCACCCACATCTGGCATTTCTCCCATGCTATCCCTCCCCAGCTCCCCCCCGCCACTGTCCCTCCTCTTTTCCCCCAATAGACCCCAGTGTGTAGTGCTCCCCTCCCTGTGTCCATGTATTCTCATTGTTCGTTCATCACCCACCTATGAGTGACAATATGCGGTATTTCATTTTCTGTTCTTGTGTCAGTTTGCTGAGAATGATGTTCTCCAGATTCATCCATGTTCCTACAAAAGACATGAACTCATCGTTTTTGATGGCTGCATAATGTTCCATGGTGTCTATGTGCCACATTTTTCCAGTCCAGTCTATCATCAATGGACATTTGGGTTGGTTCCAGGTCTTTGCTATTGTAAACAGTGCTGCAATGAACATTCATGTGCATGTGTTCTTATAGTAGAATGCATTATAGTGCATGTGTTCTTTATAGTCCTTTGGTTATATATCCAGTAATGGGATTGCTGGGTCAAATGGAATTTCTATTTCTAGGTCTTTGAGGAATCGCCACACCGTCTTCCACAATGGTTGAACTAATTTACACTCCCACCAGCAATGTAAAAGTGTTCCTATTTCTCCACATCCTCTCCAGCGTCTGTTGTCTCCAGATTTTTTAATGATTGCCATTCTAACTGGCGTGAGATGGTATCTCAAGGTAGTTTTTATTTGCATTTCTCTGATGACCAGTGATGATGAGCATTTTTTCATATGTTTGTTGGCCTCATGTATGTCTTCTTTTGTAAAGTGTCTGTTCATATCCTTCGCCCACTTTTGAATAGGCTTGTTTGTTTTTTTCTTGTAAATCTGTTTGAGTTCTCTGTAAATTCTGGATGTCAGCCCTTTGTCAGCTGGGTAAACTGCAAAAATTTTTCCCATTCTGTTGGTTGCCGATTCAGTCTAGTGACTATTTCTTTTGCCGTGCAGAAGCTGTGGAGTTTGATTAGGTCCCATTTGTCTATTTTGACTTTTGTTGCCAATGCTTTTGGTGTTTTGTTCATGAAGTCCTTGCCTACTCCTATGTCCTGAATGGTTTTGCCTAGATTTTCTTCTAGGGTTTTTATGGTGCCAGGTCTTATGTTAAAGTCTTTAATCCATCTGAAGTTAATTTTAGTGTAAGGTGTCAGGAACAGGTCCAGTTTGTGCTTTCTGCACATGGCTAGCCAGTTTTCCCAACACCATTTATTAAACAGAGTGTTTAGTCTTGTTTTGTCAAACACCAATTACTATTAACTTGAGTAGCCTTAAGTGGGTAATAGATTGACTTTTTTAACCTAAGAATTAGATATTTTATCACCCTCCTGTTAGTAGTTACTGCTTCACTAGCGAAGGGAAGGTTACATGATCAGGAGTCTAGACTTGAGAGATAGTAGGATGAGCCCTTCAGTTCCTTCTGGAAGTAAATTATTTGAATTGGCTATAATTTTCTGAAGGATGCAATAAACGAGATCAATTTCCTTGTCAGCTCTGATGTTCTCACTATGGCTCTGAGGATTGGGGCCACTCTCTCCTCCCACTTAACCAAGGTCTTAGCCCACAGTGACAGGCTAAGGAGAGGCATGGCTCCTTACCTCCCTGTCTCATTCACTTGGTCTTGTCCCCGGTGCAGAAGCCCTAACCTGTGGGAATCGTGTGTTTTAACTTTTCAGTTGCAGCAGGAAATCGAAGACTGTAGTAAATTACATGCCGAGCTCAGTGAACAAATCAAATCATTAGAGAAGTCTCAGAAAGATTTGGAAGTAGCTCTTACTCACAAGGATGGTTATATTAATGTAAGTACCTTCTCATGAATACAAGCTTAATTCTTGTGAATTATCATGAAATCTGTTGAACTAAACTGGAAAGACTCTTAGTGCCCTTTTACTTCTTTTCTAGGCTTTGACTAATTGCATTACACAGTTGAATCGATTAGAATGTGAATCTGAATCAGAGGGTCAAACTAAAGGAGGAAATGATTCAGATGAATTAGCAAGTGGAGAAGCGGCAGGTAAGATGGGTCTCCAGGAGGATGGACCCCTTTTCCCTTCCTGTCTTTAAGTACACTAATGCTACTTTTCAGCTGGCTGCATTTCCTCTTAAGCTTTAGAGTTGTTAACACATATCACTGGATTTGTGTATATGTCTATTTGCATTGGGCAGAGGTGGATTGCTAGGGTATGGTGTAGCAATAAGCATGCAAGGAACACTCACTGTGTTTTTACATCCCATTGAGACTAGAAGGTGCACGGGAGCTGCACTGGTCATGTCTTACACCTCTAAGTATTGAACATACACAGTAGTAGAAACTGTATTTCTCAATTTCATGGAGATAACATTTTAAAACTCGTTATCTCAGGAGCTGTTTGATTTTTAGGCCCACAACTGGTTTTAAGATTACTGAGGTGGTTGGATCCAGAAACTAAGGCCACGAGAGTAGAAGCAGTGGAAGATGGGGTAGAAGGAGAGTAGAAGATAGGGTAGCAGTGTTTACTGATGAGGAAAGTGTTTCTAGATGTCGTCTCTCCGGTTGGATATTGCTTACGTAGTGAGTGTTTTAAACCACACCTGATAGCCAATTCTGGAGGAGAATAGGAGGGAATCTTTCTGAATGAGACACTTACTAAACCCAGGTGGAGACAGATCTGAGATTGAAGAAAGAGCTTTATGTCACATGTTTCTTCTTGCTCAAGAATGGCGTGTATAACATGTTTATTGTGCAAATGGGAATTCACTTTTTGAATCTAGGTTTGCAGTTCTCTTAAAAGTCAGTCTAATCCTGTTCTATTTTTGTTTCTTCTTTAAATGTTGGAACATGGTAATTATTTATTTTTGCATAAATCAAGAAAATACAGATTTAAAACACAAGGGAAGAAAAAGCAATGAAAGTCTTTTGTGTTTTAGGTGACCGGAAAGAGAAGATGAAAACTCAAATTCAGCAGATGATGGATGTCTCTCGGGTATAATCCTTTTTTAGAGTCCCATAAGTGCCTGTGAATGCTTTTACTGTGTCTCACTTATATGAATACTTCTGTCTTCTGTAATTTTTAGACACAGACTGCAATATCGGTAGTTGAAGAGGATCTAAACCTTTTACGATCTAAGCTAAGAGCCGCCAGGTCCACTAAATGTAACCTGGAAGGTAGGTTGCTTCTTGAGAAGAAATTGCTGTATATCGGAAAGATGCGAAATTGCATTAGACAGATGAAGAGTGGTTTCCTGCTTTCATACTTCTCATTCCTCTCCGCACCAAACCCCCAACCAAGTTCTCAAGTTCTTGTGCACACACATAGAGCTCAAATGTTTTACCCTTTGCAGACCAGATAAAGAAATTGGAAGATGACCGCAAGTCACTACAATCTGCCAAAAATGGACTGGAAGATGAGAACAGAACCCTGAGGCAGAAAGTGGAGATTCTGAGTGAACTGTATCAGCAGAAGGAGATGGCTTTGCAAAAGTAAGGTTTTCATTTACTGTTCACTGTCATGTGACTAAATAAAGGTGTACTAATATAGACAGTGTTATCTTTTTTAGGATTATTTATCCTTCTTTCCATCTCTAATTAGTACAAATTTGTCTTTCTTCCTATCTGCTTTGTTTCTCATAACCTGCCTTTTTCTTTCCTTCCTAACCAGTTGTCAGAAACTGTTGCCTGTAGCTCATGTAAGAGGGAGCATTTGACTGGGACTGACAGTTCCTGCTGTGGAAGTGCTTCTCTTTTGAAGATCTGTCCACGCCTTTTCTGTGGCTCCACCACTTATTTCACTTTCCTTTCTTTGTGGTCAATTACGTAATTTCCTTTAAAAAGTCTGAGTGATTTGTACGACATGTTTTAGTAGAATAAAAACTTCAAAAAAGGACATTTTACTTACTAAAGGTACATTAAGTTTTGGACTTCACAGAGTCAAATATTCAGACTAAACATAATTGTGGCAAAGATGAGGAGTGTTGAATATAGAACTATTTGGTGTATATATTTAGATACTAATCTTCTGAAATGCACATCTCAAATTTTGAGCTAGGTATCTTTTGAAAACTGTATTTTTATAATTCAAGTTTTTTCTCCACAAAAACATCTGAATTCTCTAAAAATAGGTTGTCTGTGGCAGTTACTATTTGTGTTTGCTCTTATATTTTACTCTATGGTGTAGATGGCAGTGTGTGAGAAGACCTCTCTTGCTAAGCAAACTTAACCTTTTAAAATGCTTAGTCTGCTACTGCCGTATGCCATTAAACATTAAAACTATACCATTAACTTTTTCTCTAATTCTTTGCTCACCAAGCAGCCAGTCCCTTTAGATTTTCCAGATTTTGCTCAGGCCAGCTCTAAATGCCTGTCCTGCTTCAGAGAGACATTCCTCATTTCATTACTTTTTTAAAAAGAGCACTTCTCTGCCTCCAATAGTAATGTGAATTATTTAAATGGAAACTTTTTCTTCATGATCCAGTTAACCCATTTATGTGCCACAATATTCATTCAGTCTCCATTCGTGGTTTGTACTCTGCTGTCCACCCCTAAAGTCACTGCGTATGTTCAGGCCCTTGTCATCTTTTATGCCAGTCCCCTAGCTAATCACCTCTCTTATCTTCAGTCTCTCTTATACATCTGCTTCCAAATTCTGATTGTCTCTATAGCTGCTAGAGTGAACTTTCTAAAATACAAGTCTGTCCGTGTCATTATGTGCTTAAAATCTATCAAGTATGCTCCATTCCCTTGAGGGTCAACTCCATAGTTCTTAACAGAGGCCACTTTCCCCTCAGCTATCCCTGAGCTGCCTCTCCAGGTATACTTCCTGCGGTTTCTTCTGATGCTTCTTGAACTGTAGACACTCAACAGTTCCTCCATGCCACTCTAAACGTCTTTGTCTTTCTGTATGCTGTTTTTTCTGCAGTAAAAATGTCCTTCATTGTTTCTGCCTGGCAGTCACCTACCTACTCACATGTTCATGCTCCTAAAAATCTTTCTTGGAGTGAGTAGCATAAATAAATAGGTAGCTACACAGACTGAGCCTCATTTGCTTCTTAAATATAATTCCTAAAATATATTTGAGTTTAAATCTACATATTGGTATCTTCCGTTTATTTGATGGCCTGTTCTGTGTTCCTTTTTTTTTTTTTTTTGAATTATTAGAGTATTTTAAGTTCTTCTGCTCTTCTCTATTTAAGTTTCGTGGTTACAGATTGTTCTAGTTTTCTTGTTGTCTTTACCTTAAAGGCCACAGTATGTATCCTGGACTTATTACAAAGTCTGACATAAGGGAGTTACCTTTCTTTTTGTGTGTGTGTGTGAGACAGGGTCTCTCTCTGTCGGCAGGCTGGAGTGCAGTGGCACGATGTCGGCTTACTGCAACTTCTGCCTCCTGGGTTCAAGTGATTCTCCTGCCTCAAGTAGCTGGGACTACAGGCACCCGCCACCATGCCTGGCTAATTTTTGTATTTTTAATAGAGATGTATTTTGTTTCAGAGACGGGGTTTCACCATGTTGGCCAGGATGGTCTCAATCTCTTGACCTCATGATCCGCCCACCTCAGCTTCCCAAAGTGCTGGGACTACAGGCATGAACCACCACACCAGGCACCAGGCCGAGGAGTTACCTCTTTCTGGGCTTTAACTTCCTCCTGACTTAAATGTTACTGTGGTAATGTATTGAAATGCTCTCTGTAGCTCAGACTCCACAGAATGTTTTGTGTTTTACAGTGCTATCCTGCTGATCCTCAATTTACATACATATTTATAGTTAGTATCACACTTTATTCTCCTGCATCTCCAGTCTTCCATTTGCCATCACTGTCATTCTATTTGAAGAATATACTTTAATTCAGGTTCAGTGAGTTCATTTTTGTATGAAAATGTCTTTATTTTGACTCTATTTTAAAAGGATCTTTTTTTTTTGAGACAGAGTTTTGCTCTTGTTGCCCAGGCTGGAGTGCAACAGTGCTATCCCTGCTCATTGCAACCTCAGCCTCCCAAGTTCAAGTGATTCTCCTGCCTCAGCCTCCCAAGTAGCTGGGATTACAGGCATGCACCACCATGCCCAGCTAATTTCATTTTGTTTTTTTTCTTTTTCTTTTTTAGTGGAGATGGGGTTTCTCCATGTTGGTCAGACTGGTCTCGAACTCCTGACCTCAGGCGATCCACCTGCCTCGGGCTCCCAAAGTGCTGGGATTACAGGTGTGAGCCACTGTGCCCAGCCTTAAAAGGATCTTTCTACTGGTTATGGAATTTTCATAGTTGTTTAATACCGGCACTTTAAAGATAACCAGTTATCTTCTGGTTTTAAAGTTTCTTTGAGGAATCTATTATCATTCTTATTTTCTCTTTTTCAAATACATCATGCCTTCCCTAGCGGCCTTTAGTCATTTTTCTTTTTGGTTTTTCAGCAATTTTGTTGGGAGGTGCCTCATGTAGGGTTTTGTCATCACCCCTCCACCCCCACCCCCCTGCTTTTTCTTTTGCATTTATGCTGCTTGAGGTTATAAACCTCTCTTGAAATTGGGGCCTCTTTTTTCACATATTAATTCCATTTCATTCTCTCTTGTCCTGAGAATCCCATTAAACATACTAGGATCCCTCATCCCTACCCCTTGCCCAGTGCTCCTATATCCTGAATTTGCTTCATTCTGGATGTTTTCTGACTGGCTTCCCGTGTGCTAAAATGTCACCTCAGTTATCTAATCTGCTGAAATCATTAATTGAGTTCTTTTTGGTTTCACTTACTATTTTTCACTTTTATAGTTTCTGATCCTCTGCTGAAATTCATAATCTTGACTTTTACTTCCTTCCATATATAAGGCACAATTGCTTTAAAATCTGTGGTAATCCTATTATGTGGATCCCTTATGAGTCTGTTTCTCTTGTCTTTTAGATTGCAGTCACATTGTCTTGTCTTATGGAATGCCTGGTTGGTTTTGATGGGGTGGTAAACATTGTTTATGAAAATTGTAGGGGAAATTTGAGGTCTCGGATGATGTTACCATCCTACAGAAAAGATCTGAGATTACCTCTAGCAGGTGGTGGTCACTTTATTCCAGTTAGCAATTAAGTTCATTGAAAAACGGCTTAGTCTGTTTAAAGGACATTATATTGCCTGTTCAGTACTCCAAGTGTGCAGCTCTTTTCTGGTCTCAACCCAAAGCCTAGGGCTTTTTCTCAGGGACCTTCTCATTGTGAGCCCTGAACTCCACCTCTTGTTTCTCTGAACCCAGGGATCTGTTGAAAGTTCTTCTCAACCTTCATATATGTCTGGCTTATTTTTAATGTGTGGATGAACCTGGGGGACAATGGCTTAAAATGCCAGACTTCCTTGTAATTCTGTGGTTTTTCCTACTGGATTTTCTTCACTGCCTTATTAGCTTTCTGATGCCTTCAAGCACATTCTTTCTATTTTTGTCCATATGTTCTTATCTTCAGTGTTTGCAGACTAACTCATCCGTTATTGGAAGCAGAATTCTCTTGAATCTTTCTCTAAGACTTGTTTTGTCTACATCCCCTCCTAAGCCAGAGTCAGGGAGGGATTGTTCTATTCTTATACCCACCTTTTATACATTCAATTGTGAGCTCTTTTAGTGCAGAGGTGGTACTTACCATACCCAAAGCTTTATCTTAGCCTCTTATAAGGTAACTAGTATATTATAACCACTCACAAAATATTGCTGAAATATTAAATGCGCAGTTATGAAGGAATACATCAACTTTTCTCTTTGTTGTTATTAACCTTTTTTACTATAGCTCCATTTCTGTTTCCAATTTATAGAAAAGTTTCAAGTATCTTTTGTATCAGAACTATGAGTAAAGAAGTACAAGGGTAACTGCAAGTAGCACTTTTAAACCATTAAATGTTGCTGCCTTTACGGTCTGTGTTACAGTATGTTGACGTCTTGAGCTTGACAATTATCAGGTTAAAACCAGTTTTCAGTGCATAGCACCCTGATTACGGGAGAGTTGGATTCTTTTTCTATTCAACAGACATTGGCAATACTCAGATTTGTCTCTCTGCTTAATCATGATTCCTTTGAAATAGGTAGGGGAGCTCCGTATCTGAAGTGTGAAAATGTTCTGTGGTTAACTGTACAGTTAGAAGGCATGTTCTGAAAAGCCCTTTCGTTGGCTGTCTTTATCATGGTACCAGTCTAGGATTGAGAAACAGCGCATAAGAAAGTTAATTAGTGGTTTTTCCATGGTTTAAAATAAGAGAAGTAATTATCCCCTGTTTTAACTGTGGGGAAAGCTTAACTGTGTCCTGGCTTTCTACATTGAAGAAAAGTGAGCATTCATCATTTCAACACAAGTCTTTCCCATGGGACACACAGGGTTTTACATTTACTTACTAGTGACGAAAAAGTTACGAGACATTAGAAAATGCAGGTGATGTATCAACAGGCCGCAGTTGGATTTTCATCCTAAAGGACACTTTGAATTCCTTCCTATGACTTTGTATAGTCTGTGCATTTTTAAGAATAGGATAGGAAGTGACATTTTAGTAGAGCATTCAGACAGAATGCCAGGAGGAAAAGAGAAATACTTTCACTGACAACCGGTTTTATCGTAGGAAATTAAGTCAAGAAGAGTATGAGCGGCAAGAACGAGAGCAGAGGCTATCAGCCGCTGATGAAAAGGCAGTTTTGGCTGCAGAGGAAGTAAAAACTTACAAGTAAGTTCACCCTCTAAGACGGTGTCACTGGCTAATGAAACTAGTTTTTTTTTTTTTTAGCCCAAAAGTGTAAATAAATGGTCAGAGGACATGAATACATAAACTCACACAAAAGAAAAACTAAATTTTAAGTTAACAAATGGAAAAATACTAACAAATACCCAGTGCTGGCAAAACTGTAAGGGAACTTGGTTCACGCAAACAGCTCTGGGGATAGTGGGCGGGGAGGGGGGCAGTTTGTTGTGTGATGTATCAAAAGCCATTAAAGTGATTTTGCCATTTGATAGACCCAGTAATTCTACCTTTGGGAAATTTTTTTATTATATAATTAAAGGACGAAAAAAGGAAAAAAGGGTTTATAGTGGATGATAACAGGATTATTTGAGAAACATTTAGGAACAGTTGAAGTAGCTCTATTAGGGTGCAGTTGTTAGGGTAAGTGTTAACATCGTCACATTGTTTGGGTTTTATTCGGTTGTGCCTTAACTCATAAAGCCAAGTGTAATTTTTAGGCGGAGAATTGAAGAATTGGAGGATGAATTACAGAAAACAGAGCGGTTATTTAAAAACCAGGTAATGATTCTAGTCTCCTATTTAGTGCCCAGAATTCTTTGATAATTAATGCAGGCGATTAGAATGAATCTGTAAGCATATTTTGTGATGTATTATCTTTTTTAGATCGCCACCCATGAGAAGAAAGTTCATGAAAACTGGGTAAGATTTCTTTTTTCTTTCCTGTATTTGGTGCATAGTCTCCTAGAACTTAATTTGAATATATTTCTTCCGTAGCTCAAAGCTCGTGCTGCAGAAAGAGCTATAGCCGAAGAGAAAAGGGAAGCTACCAACTTGAGACACAAGTATGTGATTTGGATGCCTGTGTTTTCAGTGTTATCTCTGAAGGAATTGGTTTCTGTTTCATATTTAAGTCTTTCTTAAATACTCTTTCTCTATATTCAAGATTATTGGAATTAACACAAAAGATGGCAACGCTGCAGGAAGAACCTGTGATTGTAAAACCAATGCCGGGAAGACCAAATACACAAACCCCTCCCCGGAGAGGTAAGGGAGCACCTTGTGAAGGGCAACAATCTGTTTGTGGTGTAAAATGTATGTAAATGACTTTTGTTTGTGTTTAATGGTTATGATACCCTAGGAATAATCTCAAGAACTTAAGAAAAAAAGGCTGTCTTAAAATGGTAACAAGACGCTGTCATCTTTAGGTCCTCTGAGCCAGAATGGCTCTTTTGGCTTTTTCCTTTTTATTTGAGGATTCTAATGCAAACAACACCTTAGAATTTGGGTCTGTCCAGTATAAAAAAGGAAATTTCTTAATTTGTCTTGGTGGATAAGTATTCAACTGCAAGGTTTGTTTTAGAACAAAAAGCATTTATTATTTCCATTAAGGTCCTTTTATTGTTTCTTTTTAATTGTTTTACTATGAAGTGTAAAAAAATTTATACTTTATCTTTAAAGTTCTGTGGGATTCCTCTCCCAAATACAGCTGACCCTTGAACAAACACAGGTTTGATTTGTGCAGGTCTGCTTATATGCAGAGGTTTTTCAAAAAATACCTTGGGAAATTTTTTGGAACTTTGCAATAATTTGAAAGAGCTTGCAGATGAACCACACAGCCTAGAAATATTTTTTAAAAAATTTTGGTATGTCATGAATGCATAAAATATATGTAGATACTAGTCTATTTTATCATATACTATTGTAAAATATACAAAAATCTATTTTAAAAAGTTTATCAACACGTGCGCAAACACAGATATACATGACACCATTCACAATTGGGAGAAAGTAAACACATGTAAAGACACAGTATTAAATCATAAATGCATCAAGTTAGCTGTAGTATACACTGTACTGTAATAATTTGATCGCCACCTCCTGTTGCTATGGCGGTGAGCTCAAGTGTGGCGAGTATCCGCTTTAAACACGTGTCTGTTAATCTCCATGTAAACATAATCTTTCACAGTTGTTGTGTATTTTTTATGTTTAGTGCAATAACATAAACCTGGAATAACACCACGTGGCCCATATGAAATGCCGCTAGTGATGCCGGAATTATTCTCAAGAAGCAAAGTCATGACATCACTAGAAAAGCTGAATTGCTTTGATATAGACCAAACACTGGAGTGTGCAGCAGCAGTTATCTGTCATTTCTGTCACGAGTCCTCTTGTAAACAGATCCTGTACACTTACAGTATAGACAAATACAGTACAGTATTGTGCATACATTTCCTCCTAGGATTTCAGTAACATTTTCTTTAGCTTACTCTACTAAGGTAAGAATACAGTATACAATATATATATACAGAATATGTGTTAATCAACTGTTTATGTTACTGGTAAGGCTTGTGGTCAGTAGTAGGCTATTTATTAGTAGCTAGGCTTTGGGGAGTCAAAAGTTACACGTGGGTTTTTCACTGCACAGGGGATCAGCACACCTAACCCCTGCATTGTTCAAGAATCAACTGTATTTGCCTTAGTAACTTCATAGTTTATGAGGCATACATGTTTCCACTTCTCATTACTATAGTGTGAAATGCTGTTGAGTCTATTGTGAATCCTAAATATGTCTACACTAGTAAGATACGGAAGTCAGATTACATATACACTGAACAACAATCACAATGTAGAATACTGTATATAGAAGTCCATAGCTTGAAGTATAGACCAGAGCCATGAATGTGCAGGTTTATTGTTCTTTCAGTGCAAGGCATTGCTTATTTTAATTCTTTAAGTCCGTGCATAAATGATAAATGATTTGCCTTCATGAGTATCGGGAGACCCGTTTTTAATGTTGCTTTCCAGATAGACTTGAACCCTAACCTGTCTACAATTTGTTATTTCTTCTGAAAAATACATACAAGGGCTCTGTTATTTCTTTCACAAGGTTCTGTGGACGGGCCTCTGACTCATCCTCGATGGTCAGCTGAGGCATCTGGGAAACCGTTTCCTTCTGGTAAGGGAGCAAGAGTGTTTAAAGAGTCTAAAACCATGCAGGAAGTGGGGAGAGGATTTTTTTTATCGTCCTCTTAGAGTACACAAGTCAGGATAAGCCTATGTCAATTCTCTGGTCTCTGACAGATCCAGGACCTGGTACAGCTGCCATGATGAAAAACAGCTCAAGAGGCCCTTCCCCTACCCGGATGATGGACGAAAGCAAGGTAAATGCACCCATTTTGAATATTTATTTCAAGAACATGTAGCTTTTCCTACAACTCTCTTTGCTTCATCTCCTATTTGTGTGTTCTATTTGTACTATCTCATTTATTTTTCTAAAAAAGCAAACTGTTCTCCAAGAGCCTGAAGTCCGCTCCATTCCCAACATTACATCTTCAGCTGAGCATCCAGTAGCAGTAAGTACTTAGAAGTGTGGACTGAACTGGGCTATAAATTGCCTGGCGATATTGATCGTACTTTTGTCCTCGACTTGGGAGTGTTGCTGAAGTCTGACTGATTTGTTGGCCTTTTCTCCCTCTCCTGTTTGATTAGACATTTAACCTGTGTAGAGCATTTGCTGTAACTGTAATTAACTTAAACAAAAGTGCAAAGTCCCCACTCTTCTGCATTTCAGGGTTTAATGCTCTTATGCAAAGTAAATTCATTGTAAGTTGTGTAATTCATTGTTATGTCTTCCTTTGGAAATGTGCTGTTTAAGAATATCTCCAATTGTATACTAGGCAAAACCTATTTTGAATGATCTGAAATTACAGATTGATAACAGAAGAATGTTTGTTGGAAGTGAAGTACTGAGTAGTGGAAGTCTCTAATTACCCATTGGGCCAGTTCTCAGCAGTGGCCTTAAACAGCGTTCACATAAGCGTATTCTCTTGTAACTTGTGTAGCTGTTAAGGCTGGTAAGTCCTCTAGTCAGCCCTCACCATGCTTCTCTGTATTGAAATCAAAGTACATTTATTTTAATGATTGAGAGTTTCCAAACCACTTTCCCATAGGGAATGACTAGTCAGTGTCTTGTAGTAGACAGTATTACTAGTGAATGAATGTATTTAGAGTGTGCCGGTGTCATTTGTGTATATAACATTGTTTCTCTTGGAAAATGCTTTGGAGTTCCAGCACATGACTCGAGGAATACACATCTCTTGAGAAATCTTTTTGTCCAAGGGCAGCTTGGATAAGAGCCAAGACCCCTCTGAAGTAGAAGACTTCAAAGAGAGTAGAGACTACTTTGTTAGAGAGGAGAAGTAGAGGTGGAAAGAACATGGCCTTGGAGTCAAACCTGGCATTGAATTCCATCCCAGCTTCTTACATGCTTGTGACTGTCAGCAAATTATCTAATACTCTCTGTGCCTGTGTTCCCGCATATTTAGAACAAGATGGTCCTATTAGAGATTTAGAGATAGGAGAATTTGAGTTAACATACGTAAGGCCTGTTGAAGGTACTGTGAATAATGCTGTTACATGGTAGAGAATGGATTTTTCATTCCCTTTTATTCTCCGCATTCTACATATGGAAATTATTCTGACGGGAGGGAGGGATGTGCAGAGGAAGCGCCTGCCGTAGAGACAGTATTAGTCAGGAATGACTTCCCTTTATAACCTTTGCTTGCCCTTCCATTGCAGATATAAGCAATAATACGATTATAGCAAAAGTGTTCACTCCTGTGACATACTTTTAACCTTTCTAAGCTGTCAGTGGGAACCAATGAGAGTGGTAGTTGTTGCACTGATTCTGCTCTTTGGACAAGTGCCTGACATGTGCTTCATTGGGTTTTAGTTGTTACTGGTGCTGGTACTTTTGTCTGTCACACCAGAGCATTTCAAAACTTCAATTGCTTCTACTCTGCAGGCTAATACGACTCCAAAAGGGCCCCCTCCTTTCCCAGGAGTCCCTCTTATGGGCACCCCCATGGGAGGCCCTGTACCACCACCCATTCGATATGGACCACCACCTCAGCTCTGTGGACCTTGTGGACCTTTTTGGCCTCGGCGAATTCCTCCACCCTTTGGTAAGATGATCTGAACAGTAGTAACTGACTGTAAAGCATGGTCATCTTCTCTCTATCCCTTGCTAAAACAACTGCAATTGCTGGGCTTTGCAATGCAGCGACGAAGCTGACTGAGTACATCGTAACTTCTCCCCAAGTTTCTTAAGACACAAAGGGGGCTGCATAATGTCCTTTATTAGATGGGCAATAATTGTCTCTAATAGAACAGGGAAAGGGGCTATTTATAGAAAGCCAGAAATATTCAGCACATGTTTTTTGAATATCTCTGGCTGTGTACTAGGTTCTGCAATGGATAGCAAGGTAGATAAAACACATCCCCTAATTAAGATGTCCTGTAGGTCACAGATATACACAGTCTACAACATAAAGCTTCTAATCACCCGCAACAGAAGCATAAGCAGTGGGTGACAGAATATTAGAGAGGGAAAGATAAAACCCTCAACCCTCACCTTGGGGAATACAAAGGAGGGAGATAGGAAAGAGAAGGAAGATTTTAACTGCTGTCTAATGAATGCTGCTGATTTAATTAGATGAAGCTGGAAGACCTTTTCCAGCAGGGCCAGCACCTGGATTATCATGGCATGTATTAGGCACATGTTGAGCTACTACATAAATTCTTAATATACAGTAGTAAACAATGGAATTTATCAAAATGTTGGTTGCAATGAAGCCACATTTAGTCTGTCTTCTTGTTATGGTATATAGTACTTTCAAGTACAAATCTATGTCAATATAAAGATGACAGGCCAGGCACAGTGGCTCATGCCTGTAATTCCAGCACTTTGGGAGGCTGAGGCACATGGATCCCTTGAGCCTAGGAGTTTGAGACTAGCCTGGGCAACGTGGTGAAACCCTGTCTTTTCAAAAAATACAAAAATTAGGTGGGTGTGGTGGTTTGCACCTGTTGTCCCAGCTACTCGGAGTCTGAGGGGGGAGGATCGATTGAGCCCAGGAGATTGAGGCTGCAGTGAGCCATGATCACTTCACTCCAGTCCAGCCTGACTGACAGGCAAGACTCTGCCTCCAGAAACAAGGGATGACAGAATATATTAACGTACCTGGCATCGTCTTAATTTATTCGAAGGAATTTACTCTACATAATTTTTGTTTTCCAGGCCCTGGTATGCGTCCACCATTAGGCTTAAGGGAATTTGCCCCAAGAAGACGGGACGTGCCACTCCACCCTCGGGCATTTATACCAGGACAGGCACCCTTTAGACCTTTAGGTCCTCTTGCCCCAAGAGAGTACTTTATTCCTGGTACCCGATTACCACCCCCAGCCCATGTTCCCCAGGATTACCCACCACCACCTGCCGCAAGAGACTTACTACCGCCAGGCTCTGTAGATGAGCCTCCTCCTGCCTCTCAGCACTAGTCAGGACTGTGCATTATTCATGACCAGAAAGGACTTCAAAATCCAAGTGTATTTTAAAAGATCTGTTAGAACTAAGCTGCCTTGGCAGTGTGCATTTTTGAGCCAAACACTTCATAAATGTCATTCCTTCCCTAAATAAAAATCACCTTTTAAGCTATAGCGTCCTTACTACTTTGAAATGTGCAATAAAGAATACTTGTGTTTTAGCTAATGTGGCAAAATTTATTTAGAATGTCATGAAAAATACTAACATTTTCTGTGGAAATGCTTTAAGAACATGTATTTCCATCATCCTGTTTGTAGTGTACACCAGCTGAATACGGAGCCATGGTGTTTATAAGCATTTTTGTTTTTTTTTTTAAACTATCTGGTCCCAAAGACTGTTACGCTAAAAATGTTTACTAAAAGATCACTAAACTTTCTCTCCCCTCTTGCTGAAGTTCTTTGTAGTAATCGCTCATAAAAAGTTGTTTATTAATATTTCACAAATGTCTGTTGATTCACTGGACTCTTAGGAGGCTTGTGCCATTTGGAAAACATGTAAACTCAGTCTCCCAGAACTGAAGATGGTGGCTGGCAGCACACTTCCGGCCGCTCCCCTCAGACACCTGTGAAGTCTGCAAGTGATGTCTTTTTATTTCAAAGAAGTGAGTGGGTTCCCACTTGTGCAGCATTCACATGCCTGCTTTATGGCACTTACTGTCTATTTGAGAATGGTTTTCAGAGAGTGAGTTTACATTAGTAGCAAGAGGTGTTTGACCTGATGTTCTGTCGCTTTCACCATTCCTGTAGAAAGGGCGCACAACAGAAAAGTGAAAACGATGTGTCATAAAAGTACTAAAATCTTTTTAAGATTTTAAAATGTGTGGTCTCTTATCTTTCCCATACCTTGCCACTGATTTTTCAAGGAATACAATAAAAGGATTGGAAAAGTCTAATGCCATGAGAAAGAATGATGTAGGGCTGTGATGCTTACACCATGCCCTAGGTCAGCAACCAAGGGTTGAAATTAATTCTTTTTTGGGGGGGAAAGGGGGGGTGACAGATTCCAAAATTAATATTTAAACATTGGTGCTTTCATTTAAAAATCATTAACTATCTGGAATTGCACCATACTTAAAAGTCTTATCCATTGCTACACAGTGTCTTTAAAACAATGTTTCTTTAAAAACTATGTTTCTAAGAACTCTTCAGACATTTTAATTACAATAGTAATAGCGCTCCTTTTAAGGAGTTTAAGATTTAGATTAGGATCATAAAAGGCTGACACTTTCCTTAATTGCTAGGCTATATTCTTCCATTCTTTAAAGCCCTATGATGTAACATTTTTGAAACTTAGTGTATGACTTGTCACTGTTTTGATATTTAATCAATTAATACCTTATATAAAGGAGCCAAAGCTTTGACATGAAACAAAATTTTCTCTTTATACTAAAAGACTGAAGATAGTTTAGAAAGATAAGGACCTTTGAAAGAAGACAACTCTTTCACAGTTCATAAGGAATATATGAATTCTTCAGGAAAAGAGAATTCAGTCTGTATTTCTTCTCATTTAATATCAAGAATAGAAATAAAGAGGAAAACTCCATAGAGGGCATAGGCCACTTTTAACCATGTAAAATAAGATTAAGTCACAAATACAGCTTTTGAGTTTACCTGTCAATCTCTTTAGAACACAAAACAATGGTGAAGTTAATAGTTTCTAATTATTATTACTACTTATTTTTAGACAAAGTTTCTCTCTTGTTGCTCAGGCTGGAGTGCAATGGCATGATCTCACTCACCTCAACCTCTGCATCCAGGTTCAAGTGATACCCCTGCCTCAGCCCCCTGAGTTGCTGGGATTACAGGCATACAGCACCACGCCCGGCTAAATTTTTTTTTGTATTTTTAGTAGAGATGCAGTTTCTCCATGTTGGTCAGGCCGGTCTCGCACTCCCAACCTCAGGTGATCTGCCCACTTCGGCCTCCCAAAGTGCTGGGATTACAGGCGTGAGCCACCACGCCCTGGCCTTGGAAGCTGCGTAATAATGAGACTTTGCATGTTTTTGCCTATTAGTGATTCACTAACTACCTAGACTAGGTTTTATTCATTTTATTTTGGGACAAATACAGGAATCTTGGCTTGCTCTTCTGGATGCCAATTTTGAGGTACATTAGGAAGCCAGGTACATAAGAGACATGCAAAATTGAAGACAGAAAGTTACCTGGGATCTTACCAAGTTTGGTTTGTTTGTTCAGACAAGGTCTTGCTCTGTCACCCAGGCTGGAGTGCAGTGGCATGATCACAGCTCACTGCAACCTTGACTTCCTGGGCTCAAGTGAGCCTCCCATCTTAGCCTCCTGAGTAGCTGGAACCACAGGTGTGTGCCACCTGCCCAGCTAATTTTTGTATTTTTAGTAGAGATGGGGTTTCATAATGTTGCCCAGGCTGGTCTCAAATTCCTGAGCTTGGGCCAGGCATGGTGGCTCAAGCCTGTAATCCCAGCACTTTGGGAGGGTGAGGTGGGTGGATCATGAGGTCAAGAGATCAAGACCATCCTGGTCAACATGGTGAAACCCCGTCTCTACTAAAAATACAAAAAATTAGTTGGGCATGGTGGCGCGTGCCTGTAGTCCCAGCTACTTGGGAGGCTGAGGCAGGAGAATTGCTTGAACCCGGGAGGCGGAGGTTGCAGTGTGCCGAGATCACGCCATTGCACTCCAGCCTGGGTAACAAGAGTGAAACTCCGTCTCAAAAAAAAAAATTCCTGAGCTCAAGCAATTAGCCTTCCCAGGCCTCCCAAAATGCTTGGATTACAGACATGGGCCACCATGCCAGCCCTTACCAAGTTTAAATTGTATTTGTTTACTTATATTTTCTTATTTTGTTGTTTACTTATATATTTGTCTTGTTGGATGGAATTATAAGGTTTAGAGTGAATTTCTTAGTCTTGATTCTGTGGGCCAACAGACTGTTTATTATGATTTCGCTTCTTTTCCATTTGCTGAGGAGTATTTTACTTCTGATTATGTGATTGATTTTAGAGTAAGTGCCACGTGGTGATGAGAAGAATGTATATTCCATTGTTTTGTGGTCAAGAGTTCTTTAGGTATCTACCAGGCCCATTTGATCCAGTGCTGAGTTCAGATCCTAAATATCTTTGTTAATTTTCTGTCTTGATGCTCTAATATTGTCAGTGGGGTATTGGTCTCCCACTGTTACTGAGTGGGAGTCTAAGTGTCTTTGAAGGTCTCTAAGAACTTGTCTTAGGAATCTGGGTGCTCCTGTGTTGAGTGCATATATATTTAGGATAGTTAGCTCTTCTTGCTGAATTGAACCCTTTTCCGTTATATAATGCCCTTCTTTGTCCTTTTTGATCTTTGTTGGTTTAAAGTCTATGTTGTCAGAAATTAGGATTACGGCCCCTGGTTTTTTCTTTTTTTTCCATTTGCTTGGCAGATTTTCCCTCATCTTTTTATTTTGAGCCTGTCTGTGTCACTGCATGTGAGATGGGTCTCTTGAAGACTGCCTCCCAATCGATCTTGGTTTTTAGCAAGTTTGCCACACTGTGTCTTTTAATTGGGCCATTTAGCCCATTTACATTTAAGGTTAGTATTGCTTTGTGTGGATTTGATCCCGTCATCATGATGTTAGCTCTCTATTTTGCGGACTTGTTTATATGATTGCTTTGTAGTGTCATTGGTCTGTGTACTTCAGTGTGTTATGTGTGGATTTGATCCTGTCATCGTGATGTTAGCTCTCTATTTTACGGACTTGTTTGTATGATTGCTTTGTGGTGTCATTGGTCTGTGTACTTCAGTGTGTTATGTGTGGATTTGATCCTGTCATCGTGATGTTAGCTCTCTATTTTGCAGACTTGTTTATATGATGCTTTGTAGTGTCATTGGTCTGTGTACTTCAGTGTGTTATGTGTGGATTTGATCCTGTCATCGTGATGTTAGCTCTCTATTTTGCGGACTTGTTTATATGATGCTTTATACTGTCATTGGTCTGTGTACTTCAGTGTGTTCTGCAATGGCTGGTAATGGTTTTTCCTCTCTATATTGAGTACTTTCTTCAGGAGCTCTTATACGGCAGGTCTGGTGGTAACAAATTCACTCAGCATTTGCTTGTCTGAAAAGGATCTTATTTCTACTTCATTTATGGAGCTTAGTTTGGCCAAATGTAAAATTCTGAGTTGGAATTTCTTTTCTTTAAAAATGTTGCAGGCTGGGTGTGGTGGCTCATGCCTGTAATGCCAGCACTTTGTGAGGTCAAGGTGAGCGGATCGTGAGGTCAGGAGATCAAGACCATCCTGGCTGGGCATGGTGGAGGGCATCTATAATCCCGGCTACTCAGGAGGCTCTGACAGGGGAATCACTTTAACCCAGGAGACGGAGGTTGCAGTGAGCTGAAATAGTGCCACTGCACTCCAGCCTAGCGACAGAGCAGGATTCCAGCTCAAAAAAAAAAAGGAGATCGGGCGTGGTGGCTCAGGCCTATAATCCCAGCACTTTGGGAGGCTGAAGCGGGTGGATCACGAGGTCAAGCGATCGAGACCATCCTGCCATCCTGGTCAACGAGGTGAAACCCTGTCTTTACTAAAAATACAAAAATTAGCTGGGCATGGTGGTGTGTGCCTGTAGTCCCAGCTACTTGGGAGGCTGAGGCAGGAGAATTGCTTGAACCCAGGAGGCGGAGGTTGCGGTGAGCCGAGATTGTGCCATTGCACTCCAGTCTGGGTAACAACAGCAAAACTCCATCTCAAAAAAAAAAAAGTTGAATATTGGCCCCCAGTCTCTTCTGGCTTGTAGGGTTTCCGCTGCAAAGTCCACTGTTAGTCTCATGGGCCATGTTGCCCAGACTGGTATTGAACTCCTGGATTCAAATGATCCAACCATGTTGGCCTCCCAAAGTATTGGGATTACAGGTGTGAGCCATTGTGCCTGGCCAATATTACGAAGTTTCATAAAGGTTCCAACACAGTTTCCTATGCATCACAGATAGGTGCTAACTAAATATCGTTGAGTAATCAAATGCTATATAATACAGAAGAGGAAGGTGAGATTTAAAAACAAAATTCTTTTTTTTTTTTTTTTTGAACGAAGTCTCACTTTGTCGCCCAGGTGGGAGTGCAAAGACATGATCTTGGCTCACTGCAAACTCCACCACCCAGGTTCAAGCAATTCTCCTGCCTCAGCCTTCTGAGTGCCTAGGACTACAGGCACAGGCCACCATGCCCAGCTAATTTTTTTGTATTTTAGTAGAGATGGGATTTCACTGTGTTGCCCAGGCTGGTCTCAAACTGCTGAGCTCAGGCAATATGCCCACCTCGGCCTCCAAAAGTGCTAGGATTACAAGCATGAGCCACCACACCCAGCCCAAAATGCTTTTCATAAATACTGTATCCTACCACATAATGCACTAGGGATACAGAGA